CATACAGCCGTTTGCGCAGTTAACGAGCTGCGCGTTGGCCATGAGCCTGGAAAAGACTGGTACGCGTGCAAAAGCGTGTAGGCGTGGCCGTTTTTGTAACGCCAAGCTTTAGAATAAACGGAAAGTTGAGGGCAGGAGGCCACTTCTGGATACAAACCGTCTCTAAAGTCCGGCAAGACAAAGGGTCATCAGCGACCAGCAGGGGCACTACGACCATGACATGAAATTTGGAATGGGTCAACATCCAGTGCAAAGCTAATTCACACGAAACGTATTGACCCTGGGCAAGCTGTCGGTACTTCCTGGCTCGCGCATCCTGTCTGGAAAAATAGTGTTAGTGGTGGACCCTACATAATCTGTCTTCGCAGAAACTTGCACTGTAGAAGGGTCCTGTTGAATTCGGCCGGAAAAATGTAATTGCAAAAGGGCATAGACCGCGCATGGTGACTCAAACAACCGGGCAAGCGAACGAACAAAACCAGACGACAACGAACAAAGAGAACCCAAACGTGTCTTCCATGCGCGGGTATGCTTATGCAACGCTCGGTGGCTTTGAATTCCCGAAAATGCACAAGCTGCAAGACAAAGCCGGAAAAAGTTACGAAATAGCCAAAGTTCGGGTGTGTCAAGCGCCGCCTCTAGTGCCCAACTCGAAAATGCTAGACACAGGGAAAGTCTCAGGAGCGCAGTCTAGTCACTCGGTCATCGAGGCGCAAACCAGCAAAATCTTGAGAAGCTCAGCGGACTTGGCCTTTGAGGCCAGGCTGACTGGGAGTCCAAACTCTGCCGCACGATCCGGAAGCTGAGCTGCCTGTTCACTAGAAAGCTGTTTGGCTGAAGCGCTGGCAGATTTCACGGCCTCTTGGAGAACCGAAACCTTACGCGCAGGCAACTTTAAACGGGCAATCCACTGCCCGATCGCCTGAGAGCTGGGCGTGGCCGGGGCATTGTTAGCCAAGACACGCTCCTTGACTGGATCCGAAAAAGTCAAAGCTTTCGCAATCAACCCATCAGGGGTAGCAGGCGTGCTGGAACCCTCTGCGCCTGACTGCTTGGAACGCGCCCGCTTTGCAGGTTGGCTGCTGTCTGGCTCATCGATTGGGCGCTTTGCACCGCCAGTGGAGGGGACAGCACTGGAAGGCAACCCTGACCTAGCCTGGTGCAACTCATGCTGCAATTGCCGGATCGTGTCGTGGGCGGCTTTCAAATCTTGGACATGGCACTGAGCCATGCCCTCGACAAGATGGGAAACAAACTGGTCCACGCGCCATGTCTTACGCTGGCCGTCGTCAAGGTTTGACGAGGGGGCCAACTGCTGTTGCTTGGCGTATTGCTCCGCAAGAACGTCAAGGTCGAAGCCCTTCTTTCTCAGCTGGCTTTGCAGCGTGGTGAGAAAATTAGCCTCTCGGATTGAACGTGCCCAAACGATGGTGCTAAACCGACCGTGCGCTAGGTTGCGTAATTGATAATTCTGCCAGCCTTGCCAGCTCAGCTCTGCCAAGCTCAGGTCTGCAATGCTCCGACCGGCGAGTCCGTGCTTTACGCTCCACTGTGTGGCTTTGACCCGCTTAGGGAAGTCAAGACCAAACAGCGCGGTGGAATCAAAATGGTCGGCGTCGGGCTTAAAACTAGCCGGCAGGCCCCGGTGCGTGTCAGAACTTCCTTGTGAGGGCTTTTCACCTCAGGAACGCTAGTCGGGTCTTTTTGGGGGTCTGTGGCTGTGCTGAGTGACTGGTTGGCTGCGATGGTCCGACCAATCCCAGGAGGAGGCTTGCCACTGCCGATCCCAGGCTGAGTACCACTCGGACGGGTGCCAAGACGACATGGCGAGCAACAGTCGTACTAAGCCAGAGCTGAGCAACCGCAATCTCGGGCCACCGTTACGCACAGTCTGTTTCAAGAATGTGCGCAGAACCGAGCAAGCCACAAGTAAGCTTGTGCGCTGGGAGAAGCGTTGCTGTTAGATATGCACCCCAGACCGCGTGAAGCAAAGCAAGCGTTGTTTTCTCCCGAAAGGAAAGGTCAGCGGGTATTCGTCAGGTGGTAAGAGCGGCCAAATGAAATCGGGCAGGGTCTGTCCATTCACCCCAGTCCTGGTCCTCGACTTGGGACATCAAGACCACCCGAGCAACGGAGACGGCATCAGTTCTGAACACCCATCTCTTGTCCTGAGCTATACTCCGAATGACAGCAAAATGTCTCAGCATTCTTTGCTCGTCATGGATGCTCGCGGTTCTACGCTTCGGGTATGTTCCGATGTAGTCACCCGAGATCGCTACGCCAAGGATGTTCTTTGTGTGGAAATATTGTTCTGTACACCACGCGGCTAGGGCTGCGGGAGACCAAGTATTTACTGTTGCCCGGCCGAAAAAAAACCCAGTGACCAGTCGCTGGTAGACCAGTCCAGTGTCTGCCTGGTGGTTGGCAGCAAAAGCCCTGTGCGGAAGATTCCTGACAAACCCTCCTCTGAAGGAAAGTGGATCCAACTGGAAACCAAATTGTTGGGAGAACCCATGCAACAACCTCATCCTGGGATTTATGTACTTGAATCGGGCTCTTGAAGACTTGCGGGTGCGGCAAGTCAGACCTGTACACTGCCATAGCCAAATGGTCGAGGACCTCGGATGATATGTCAAATTGTCTAGCCGCCGGAGGATTGAGCGTGCGTAAGTGGTTCAAAAACTGGCCCTTCCAGGATGCATCAAGGGGAAACGGAGCACGCAACACTTGGGCCAGGAAGGCTTTCTTCTTCTCTTGGTCTACGAAAGCATCAGCTTTGTCAGACACTAGCCAAAAAGAACGAAGACAACTTCTCTGCAGATTCTCACGGAGCTTCGCAAAAAACACGTGCGGGTAAGGAAGTGGTCTTGCAGAAGACGAGCCAGGCTCTTGTATATCGCTTCTTGCAGCGTGAGGCGGCGGGCCTCCCGACACCTGACCGGCCTTTGGCCAGTGGACAGGTGGCTCCGGGGGTAACACGTGCATCTGCGCCATAAGTTGCTGCTGGACTTGTTGCAGAACAACTGATACTGGCAGAGGAGGACCAGCTTTGACTTGGGCTGCTGTAGCCCAAGACGGTGGAGGAGCTCGCGGTGGTGGCCCAGGCTGTGGTACAAACAGGCTTGGAGGCAGCTGTGACGGTGGTGGACCCGGGCTCATCTTCAGCTCGGGCTGCGCACTAGGCCTGTACACTTGCACTGGCCGTGGCAAAGGTTGCCATTGGCCGGGCGGTGGGTATTCCGGAGCTTGTACGGCGTCCGCTGCCTGCAGTAATCTGCAAGACGGTGTCCCGCGGCGGGGCGGAACATCACGGCGGACAGCTGCGGGTTGGGGCGGGAGAGGTTCCGCAACAACTCTGGAAGGAGGCCTTTCAGGGATCTCTCGAACTGCCTGACGCCGCCGGCTTCTAGATCTGTGATGCCTGTGGCGCCGGCGCCTAGGTGATCTACTGCGCGAATGGCGACGCTCTCTGTGAAGGCGGCGCCAGTTCTGTCAGTCGGGGCTCCGCAGGTGCAAGCTGAGGAACAACCCGGGATGACGGGAGGACATGCGTCGGTATCATTCCGCCTGACGTGAAAAACACCATTTGTACCTGGGGCGATTCGCCATGGGATGGCATGGCTTGAGGGATCATGCTCTGTAAATCTTTGCGCTGTAGTTATGAACTGCAAGGCAACATTCTGCCACCTGCTCGAAATCTGCAGATGCCTGTGACATCATGACACGAAGTTGTAGAAACAGAACTTGGGCCTTGCTTTGGGCAAAGTGGCTGGAATCAAGTGAAGTGACAACGCCCGTTCCTCAAGTGCTTGGCAAGCATGCTTCGCTGGTTCAGGATGCTCATGACAGTTGCCAATGGCAAATATGGTTTAAAAGCTCACGACAGGTGCACAAGGGCAAAAATCTGGTTGTAATGCTCATGACAGGTGCGCTACTGGCGCATGCTGGAGTATGGTCAGGGTGTGAATCGGTGGTCAAGGCCGTTGAAATGGTCAAATCCAACGACACAAAAAGGAAGGTTGTTGCAGCTTGGCCTTCACTACCGTTCTGCATGCAGTAGACCCAAAGGTCACACGGCCGGGAAAACACATTTGGTAACTCTCTGCAGGTGGGTAGTGAACCAACTTCACCATGCTGCCAAGGCACTCTCAAGTCACCGGACATGTCTGAAACTTGTTGTTGGTTGCCTGTTCCCTTAGCTGTTCAAGTCTCGAGCACGCATGTCACAGATAGACTGCAACTTGACACAGCGGGAAAAAACAGCGCTGCTTGAGTGGTCGAAGCAACCGCTTGCAAAAACCACTAAAATTGCAGGTACGCTGGGATGATCAGTCCCAGTTTCACCGCATATGGCAAGTGTCTTCGTTGGCAGGAGACTTGCCATAGCGCTCCTGCCCCCTGCTGAAAGCTATCTGAGCGACGAGCAAACGGAATGCCTCAAAGAGATCCGTCACTGCCCAAATTAAGGGCCCTTTCACAAGCCGAAGGTCATGAGCAATGGAATCTTTAAGCCCCAAACACCAACTTGCCGTCTGAAAAGTTGATGCGGCACCTTTGAAATGAAGTCTCCCGTGCAGACCGCTATGTGAGCAATGATCAAACAGAAAGAATCAAACAGATCTGCCACTGCTAGAAGGGACTTTTCAACTTGCTAGCTGAAAGGTTGATGTGGCACCTTTGAAATCAGGTTTGGCACACACCCACGCACGCACCCACCCACCCACCCACCCACCCACCCACCCACCCACGCACGCACGCACGCACGCACGCGCGCACCCACACACGCACGCACGCACGCGCACACGCACACACACACACACACACACGCACACACACACAAGCGTGGTCACGCGCGAGCGCGCGCAAACGCACACACGCGCCGCTCGCAAGCCGTCACGCCACCCACCACCCACCCACCCAACTCCATAACGCATATTTTCATGACATGTTTGGATAGATGACACCCGACACAAGTGGCACGTATGTTCGACCTGGCCCAGGTGCAGCAGTCAGTGTGGCAGGAGCAAATCCGCCTGCTGCAGGCTGTCCATTCGACAACGACGCAGCAACATTTGACCTTCTGCATGAGGCTTGCTGGTCTGCCTGGGTGAGACATGCCGAGCACCGCCGTTTGATGAAGCTGTGCGCGTGGCGAGTTTGGATGCTCAAAGCATTTGGTGGCCTGGTGCTATGGGGCAGGTACCAGAGCTGGGCAGACGTGCACTGGCTGCGCACTCGGCTGGGGGCTGCTTGGCAAGCGGCCGCCTCAGCATGCTCAAGACTTCAGAGACTTTAGAGGTTCCATGACACTGGCAAATCTGCACTTCGACCAGCCCCTACCTGCCGGACGGGAGGCATGGCTGGCCTGGTACCGCAAGCGAGGGAAGGTGCAGAGCTCAGCTGAAAACCGTAAATCTTCACCAACAGTAGCTGACCGTTCTTGAAATCTGCCACTTTGGTCTGACTGTGAGGCTACAGATGGTTGATTCGTGCGAGATGCAAGGTGGTTGCCATGTGCAGCGGTCCGCAGCTGTTGGCAGCGTGGCGCTGGCTGCGTGTGCACGCAGCGGCGCATTTAAGGCCAAGCAGGCGGCGGATTAGCTACTCCAGTAAACGCTGCTCACACCCTGCCTTCCAGCAAATCCCGGCAGGTCGGGTCTTCTCCTGGGTCATTCCGACGTGCCAGGCAGGGCCGTGAGGCATTCGTTTGAATTTGCAACGTCTTGTAGCCGGAAATGCAGAGGTCGGGATGAAGCTCAGCACACAGCACGAGGGCACACAACTGCTCCAGCCGTACCTGCTCCTTGGCGCTGGCCCCGGCCAGTTAGAACCAAATGCTGCAGGGCAGAAAGGCATGAGACTCTTGTAGCCTTTGCATTGTGCCCAGGTGGCACGCGGCTGCCACCGAGCTCCTCTTTGGATCAGCTCCCTTCGAAGCGCACCCACACCACATGAAGGCATTGCCCGGAACGAGACCTTTGGGAGCTGGGTTGGGATTCCATGGTTGAAGGTTGGGACGGTCGGTTCTCTTTGCAAGGCTGTCTGTTAAGTTTTGTTTCTTGGCTTTGCGGCTTTGCTGTTTGGCACTATGCTCTGGTGTGTGCGTCTTTTCATGACTTTCCTTGGCCTCAGCTAAAACCAACCCCCCCACTTAAACTCGCCCTTAGCCAACCATAGCACCCTAAACCCTTGCCACCCAACCTAAATCAAAATAAACAGATCCCCAAACCAACCCTACACACCCAAATCGACGCTAGGCCATGCGTGAGGGCCTCCTCGTGATCTTTGCGAGCGCTCTGCTGAAGAAGATGATGGGTGCCTGGATGAGGAAGGTGCCTGGTTGACTGGTTTGATTCAGTTTGATGCTGTTCAGAGCTTGTCTGTGTGTGAGCTTTTGTGTTCCTGTTGTAGTGTGCGATGAGCCCGCGGCTCCGCGGCCAGTGGAGATTCAATCATGCAGGTAGGTGCTAGTTTGCCAGATGAGGCTTTAGATAATGTATGCCAGTGATGTATGTAAAACCTTTTCCATGTTAAAGAGCGACTTCCAGCTAGACTTCATTGCTGGTGATGCTGGCGATGCCGGTGACGCTGTTTGTAGATCAAGGTAACGGCCGTCCGTGCGACGAATTAGCAAATTCGTCAGAGCAAATGTCAGCTAGACTGCATTGCTGATAATGCAAGTGATGCTGGCAATGCCGGTGATGTCTGTGCAAATTTCATGGTAATGCGGGTCCCACTTCTTGGGCCCGCCGGCCACCCCGTGACAAGTGACTGACGCAATGGAATTATCTTAGGTTTGGCCGCGAAAAAAAAATATGAAAGAAAAAAGACTGCCACAGACAAACATTTGAAACTCTACTGCAACAAAACACTTTACAAAAAGCTGCAGCCCGACCAAAGAGCAACTGTACAAAAAACTGGCACCCACAAACAACCACCAAATTAGAAGCCCTACTTAAAACCCCTGCTTCACGAAAATCATCAGCCCGACGAGTAGGCCAGTGACAGCAGTCCGACCAAGCAGGACAATGACAGCCCCTGAAAAAAACCAACTGCACAAAATAGACGGCGAGCAAATTTGAAGAGAGGTCCTGAAAAAATGTAGCTGCGCAAAAACCGGCAGTCACACAGCAGGCCGACCCAGCAGGCCAGTGATAAGCCCTGAAAAAACAACAGCTAGTGCAAGAAAAGGCAGCCACAAACAACGGCCCTACAAAAACATCCCACCACAAAAAACATCAGCCCGACCAAGTAGGCTAGTGACAGGCCCGAGACAAAAAATCAAGCTGCAAAAACCAGGTGGCAGCCACAGGGGCAGGAAGCAACTTGGAAGCTCTACTAAGAGCTTCCCACGGCACGAAAAACATCAGCCCGACCAAGTAGGCCAGTGACAGGTCCTAAGCGAAAGCAAACTGCAAAAACACACACTGCGCAGCCACACACAACAAGCAAATTAGAGCAGTCCTGCTACAGGGATCATGGAAACCTGACAGATTTTCTGAACAGGGTACTTTGGTGCAATCCATGTCAAAGATTCCTCAAACCCTGTTTGCTACATGTCCCGCCCAACATCGACAATAAATAAACTTGGCTCGACACTCAGTTGGTTCCTGATTTGTTCCTGATTAATGTTTCACCTCTACTCAAAAAGCACTTGACGAAAAGCAGCAGCCCGACCAAGCAGGCTAATAACAGGCCCCAACCCCGTAGGCGGGCGGGCCCCGACCGCGCCCAACGGTCGAGCCCCTTTGCTGCGGCTGCCGTGTTTGTTGTGCAGTTGTGTTTTCTTTCAGGGTCACTGGCCTGCTTTGCCGGCTGCTTTTCATGAAGTGGTGTTTAGTAGATCTAAGAGGCCAGAAGGCCATGGGGCCAGGAGACTAAGGAACAAGTTTTAAATGTTTCTTGTTTTGTCTGAGCTTGCAACTTCGGATAGTGAAGGCCTCCGGCAACAGGGATTCGCGAGAAGACAAAAGATAAGGCAAGGGTCCGCCAGGAAATCAAGACACAGTTGCCACCTGATTTAGGCCAAATTTGAGCAAGAGGCAGAAGGAAACCGTGCAAGCTGTCGGGCCCCCCGAACCCCATGTGCACTTGTTGGTCTCCCGACCCTTCGGTCTCTTGCCCTTGGTTCTTTGATATTTGGGGCAAAACCCGCCAACAGCGTATTTTTTTTATGTATATTTGTGGGGGTGTGGTAGAGCCTACATGTATATGCGGGGGGTCCCCCCTCCGTAAGAGGGAATAGTATGTATCATGTGATTGGCCCATGTGCGCAGTTGAGGCTCGGGCGATGCGAGAGATGCTGCAGCAAGCAAAGTTGAAGGCAAAGCAAAGGAGCCTTGGAGCCTGGAAGGCGGGGTGCGTTGCAAGCTCGGGTGTGATTTATTGGGCTGGCATGCCTTGCTTCAGCGTCATGTTGTTTACATGCGTAGTCTCACGCAGGAGGGAGCTGCAAAATGCCGACGTCTCCGTTCAAAGTCTCTGCAGGCGGCGCAATGGACTGACTGCATCATGGGGCACTGATTGCCTGGAAATGCACCGCATCAGTTCATACTGCAAACTAGTTGCAAACTGCATGTTGCTGTTTCATATGCCAGGTCTCAAACCGTAGACAGTCTCAAGTGCAAGTGCGCGCACTTCAGCACTGGCAGCACAGGCCCTTGCAGCTGTGAAGCGTCTTGCGATGACGGAGCGTGAGAGCGCTTGCGAGGTGGTCAGCACGAACTCAGCATCGGCGGCAGCTGCGGGATTTTGATGTGACGTGCTGGCATCGTTGCTGCAGGAGGCCTGGCATGCTTCACCTACGTATTTGTTCCTGATCGGCCTTCGACTGCATGAGTAGTTGCCAGTGCGTCAGAGCACATTGCAATTATGTGTTGCCTTTTAGACTCTTCCTTTGCATTCGGGCAAGTTTTTTTGCAGAACTCTTGAGTTGTGTTTCTTGTTCTTCTTCTTCTTCTCATTGATGCTTTTGCATGTTGCTTTACACGCTGCTTTGCGCGCGCTATTGCTGCTAGATGGTTTGCCGGGTATCGTGTGCTACTCCTACGGTGTCCCATGCACCGATGCGCTGCCTGCAGGGCGATGACAGCCTGGCATGTTGTCCGGCGGCAAGAGGTCAACGCCTCAAATGAGTGCAGCGTGTTGCAATGTGTCGTGAGTCGTGTGTGTGCGCGATACCCCTGGCACGCCTTTGGCGTCGTTTGGCATACCTCGCGCAGCGGGGCAGCTTTCAGCAAGGTTACGGCCCGAAGAATGAAGAAAGCCACCGGCCTGCGCCGCTCACATCTTGTCTTCCAGGCGGCTTTGTGGGCAATCTCGTTTTTTGGCAGAGTGTTTGAGTATAGGTTTGGGTGATGCAGTGGCAGCACGAACGCAAGGCCCGTCTGACAGCTGGTGCTTTTCTCCAGCACCATGGACGTAGCATGCTGACACGCAGGAGGCGCTCTTGCTGCGCCGCTCGCTGCAACTGCATCGGAAGTTTTGCCCTGGGCACAGCATGAAAATGGGGCCGCGTCGCAAGTTTGAGTGACAAATGATTCAGCGCCTGTCAGGTTATCTTCGGGCCTTTCAGGCCTTCCACCACTATGCATCACTATGCTGGAGCCTCGGCTAGGATGGTCTTGTTTCAGGCCTGGGTGGCGCAGCACCGTCGCAACAGGAAGGCCTGGCGGGTTGCGTGCTGAACTCGCCATGAATGTTGCATTCTGGTTCCAGGAGAGGGGTCTTCAACGGCTTACGCTCTTCCCGCGCAAGCAAGGCCTGCTGGCTGAGCCGCTGTGGTGCCGCTGTGTTTGCGTTGTAGGCCTGAAGCAGGGCATCCGAGCACTGCACCGCAATGCGGCGGGCCTAGAGCCCGCGCTGAAGAATGCCAAGCAAAGGAATATGCAAAGCTCCAAAGGAAGCGACGCAATCGAGGTCCAGCTTCATCACCGCGAGTGTGCCTTGGCGAAGGCAGGCCGGCGAGTTGGGTTGGATCGAGAGCGGTGTCGGTTCGAAGTCTTTTGAATTGCAGTGAAGCCCACGAATGCATCCATTGTCTCGCACTTCGAGTGCCACGAGACCCCGAACCACAGGTGCAGCAGGGCACCAGGCAGGCGGACCGCCGGCTTCTGGAGGCGCATGTCGATCGGTGCTAGTTTTAGGTCACATGAGATGCAAGAATAGTGTGTTGGCGCTCCTGCGTGTGCCGAAGGTTTGCTGGGCAGCGCTGCAGAGACATCTGGAGCAGCGCCAGCTGATGATTCTGCGCCCACGCAAGAGATAGGCATAGTTTTGCCTTTGTTTGGGATGTTTCTGATGCTTATGAAATGCTTATGTATTTTTGCCTGGGGCGAGGTACCTGAGCTGGGCGGATGAGAATAGGTTGAGGGCGCGACTGGGGGCTGCCTTCCAAGCAATTTCCTGAGATCTGAGCTGGTGGATGCTGGGCATGCTGAGACTTCAGGCATGGCTTGCCTGGCGCCACAAGCGCAAGGCCGAAGACTCATGTGCAGAGAAAGCGGAGTTTCATACCCATGCTTCGGCAAGTAGGTTCCATCTTCACACTGCTCCAGATTGGTCGTTAACCTTCCATCATTTCTTTCAGGATGCACGCGCAGAAAACAACTGTGTTTCTTGAGCCCTTCCAGCTTCTGATGCCTCTGGCTGATGGTCTCGCTAATTGCGGAAAGATTCTGCTCACTCGAGGTGAGTCTAGACTTTCGATGTGCATGGAATGAAGTCTGGAATGCAGTGCGCGCACGCTCACACACGCCCAAGCTGGCTGCGACGTCCCCCATTGGTAAGCCCACAGTATGAGTAAGAATCAGTCAGTATGAGATGTGGCATGCGCATACTGAGTTAGTGCAACGCCCTTGAGGTGGTGGCCATGAGCAACGCGGCGCAGCTGTGGGCAGCATGGCGTTGGCTGCGGCACAGGCCACCAAAAAGCGGCATGAGACTAGGAAGGGGAGGAAGGGGAGGAGCCATGGGGCCGAAACGCCAGGCGCCGATCTCAGCCGGGCAGGGGCCTTGCTTGACAGCACGCCGGCTTGGAGCTTGTTAAGCAAGGCATGGAGAGTTGCATTGTGCCACCGTGTGCTACCTCTGCTTTGTGTTTCATGTTGTGTTTTCTGCCTTGGCCAGGTAGAGAGTTGCATTTTGGCCATGATGTCTTTGGGCTTGCAGGTCATGATACACGTCTTGGATTGAAGCAGCCCACTTCGCTTGCTCCCGTACCTGCTCCTTGGCACGGGCCCCGGCCGACCCAAAGGCCGCAGGGCAACAAGGCATTGGATTCTGCGGCCTTTGCATGCCTTTGCGCTAATGTTAACCTGGGTATGTCCCCAGGTGGCACGCAGCTGCGACTGAGCTCCTCTTTGGATCAGCCCCGTTCGCAGCGCACCCGCACCACATGAAGGCATGTCCGAAGGGCGAGGGCGCGAGATCATGCGCTGCTTGCATAGCTGCTGTGCTTGGGACGTTCAGGCGATGCGGGAGGGCCTTCTTGTGGTCTTTGCGAGCACCCTGCTCAAGAAGATGATGGAGGCCTGGATGCGCGAGGCGGGGCTTGGATCGGTGCGATCATTGGGAGCGGTGGGGACGGGCAGGCCAGTTGAGGTAGCTGATAGATGTGGCATGCGAAAGCTAGTTCTAGCGCGGTGGTTCAAAGGCGTTGATCCGGCCCACTCTTTCGGTGCAACGTCATGTGTGTGTGTGTGGTATCTTTGATGACGTAACGCTGGGAAGTAGCGACGTGCCACGCCCACAAGCGACTCACAGCAGCTGTCCCGGGTCTGCCTTGGCCTTCATAGCTGGCAAACAAACAGACGAGTCTTGGCCTTTCAAGAGGATCCCGATGCAGGCTGCATTGGGTCATCCGTCCACGAGTGTATGTTGCCAGAATGCTTGGGAATTCGGTCTCCGGGCTGATCAGTCTGGTTTGCGCTGAGTTTCGCTCAGCTGGCAGCCGAATTGGCCCAGAAGGAGCCGATAGCATCAATTATAACCAATTGATTTGGCGCAAGCCATGCGTCAAGGTCAGAAGCAACCCTTTTAGTTTGTTGGAGATGTTGGAGTCAGAGGCTTCCTGTGAGATAGCTAATTGGCGGTCTGAAGGGGATTCGCGCCTTGGATGGCATGTTTGGCCCATGTGTGCAGTTGAGGCTCGTGCAATGCGAGAGATGCTGCAGCAAGCAAAGCTGAAGGCAAAGCAAAGGAGCCTTGGAGCCTGGAAGGCGGGGTGCGTTGCAAGCTCGGATTCTTTGGCAATCTATACTAATCATGCTGGGAGCACAATGAGTTTGAAGCAATTTGAAAGATGTTACGACAATTGCACACTCATCCAACGCAGGAGGGAATTGCCAAGTGTCTACATCTCCGTTCAAAGTCTCTGCAGGCGTCGCAATGGACTGACTGCATCATGGGGCACTGATTGCCTGGAAATGCACCGCATCAGTTCATACTGCAAACTAGTTGCAAACTGCATGTTGCTGTTTCACGTGCCAGGTCTCAAACCGTAGACAGTCTCAAGTGCAAGTACGCGCACTTGAGCACTGGCAGCACAGGCCCTTGCAGCTGTGAAGCGTCTTGCAATGACGGCGCGTGAGAGCGCTTGCGAGGTGGTCAGCACGAACTCAGCATCGGCAGCAGCTGCGGGATTTTGATGTGACGTGCTGGCAACGTTGCTGCAGGAGGCCTGGCATGCTTCACCTACGTATTTGTTCCTGATCGGCCTTCGACTGCATGAGTAGTTGCCAGTGCGTCAGAGCACATTGCAATTATGTGTTGCCTTTTAGACTCTTCCTTTGCATTCGGGCGATTTGGTTTTCAGCACTCTTGAGTTGCTCTTCTTCTTCTTCTCATTGATGCTGTTGCATGTTGCTTTACACGCTGCTTTGCGCGCGCTATTGTTGCTTGATGTCTTGCCGGGTATCGTGTATGCTACTCCTACGGTGTCCCATACACCGATGTAGGAGCCTTGGAGCCTGGAAGGCGGGGTGCGTTGCAAGCTCGGATTCTTTGGCAATAATCATGCTGGGAGCACAATGAGTTTGAAGCAATTTGAAAGATGTTACGACAATTGCACACTCATCCAACGCAGGAGGGAATTGCCAAGTGTCTACGTCTCCGTTCAAAGTCTCTGCAGGCGTCGCAATGGACTGACTGCATCATGGGGCACTGATTGCCTGGAAATGCACCGCATCAGTTCATACTGCAAACTAGTTGCAAACTGCATGTTGCTGTTTCATATGCCAGGTCTCAAACCGTAGACAGTTTCAAGTGCAAGTGCGCGCACTTGAGCACTGGCAGCACAGGCCCTTGCAGCTGTGAAGCGTCTTGCGATGACGGCGCGTGAGAGCGCTTGCGAGGTGGTCAGCACGAACTCAGCATCGGCAGCAGCTGCGGGATTTTGATGTGACGTGCTGGCAACGTTGCTGCAGGAGGCCTGGCATGCTTCACCTACGTATTTGTTCCTGATCGGCCTTCGACTGCATGAGTAGTTGCCAGTGCGTCAGAGCACATTGCAATTATGTGTTGCCTTTTAGACTCTTCCTTTGCATTCGGGCGATTTGGTTTTCAGCACTCTTGAGTTGCTCTTCTTCTTCGTCTCATTGATGCTGTTGCATGTTGCTTTACACGCTGCTTTGCGCGCGCTATTGTTGCTTGATGTCTTGCCGGGTATCGTGTATGCTACTCCTACGGTGTCCCATACACCGATGTAGGAGCCTTGGAGCCTGGAAGGCGGGGTGCGTTGCAAGCTCGGATTCTTTGGCAATAATCATGCTGGGAGCACAATGAGTTTGAAGCAATTTGAAAGATGTTACGACAATTGCACACTCATCCAACGCAGGAGGGAATTGCCAAGTGTCTACGTCTCCGTTCAAAGTCTCTGCAGGCGTCGCAATGGACTGACTGCATCATGGGCCACTGATTGCCTGGAAATTCACCGCATGTGTTCATACTGCAAACTAATTGCAAACTGCATGTTGCTGTTTCATATGCCAGGTCTCAAACCGTAGACAGTTTCAAGTGCAAGTACGCGCACTTGAGCACTGGCAGCACAGGCCCTTGCAGCTGTGAAGCGTCTTGCGATGACGGCGCGTGAGAGCGCTTGCGAGGTGGTCAGCACGAACTCAGCATCGGCGGCAGCTGCGGGATTTTGATGTGGCGTGCGGGCATCGTTGCTGCAGGAGGCCTGGCATGCTTCACCTACGTATTTGTTCCTGATCGGCCTTCGACTGCATGAGTAGTTGCCGGTGCATGCATCAGAGCACATTGCAATTATGTGTTGCCCGTTAGACTCTTCCTTTGCATTTGGGCAAGTTTTTTGCAGCACTCTTGAGTTGTGTTTCTTGTTCTTCTTCTTCTTCTTCTTCTTCTCATTGATGCTTTTGCATGTTGCTTTTACACGCTGCTTTGCGCGCGCTATTGCTGCTAGATGGTTTGCTGGGTATCGTGTGCTACTCCTACGGTGTCCCATGCACCGATGCGCTGCCTGCAGGGCGATGACAGCCTGGCATGTTGTCCGGCGGCAAGAGGTCAACGCCTCAAATGAGTGCAGGGTGTTGCAATGTGTCATGAGTCGTGTGTGCGCGATACCCCTGGCACGCCTTTGGCGTCGTTTGGCATACCTCGCGCAGCGGGGCAGCTTTCAGCAAGGTTACGGCCCGAAGAATGAAGAAAGCCACCGGCCTGCGCCGCTCACATCTTGTCTTCCACGCTGTGGTGGGTGGGCTGGGGGCGGGGTAGGGTGGGGTAGGGGTGGGTGGGGGTGGGTTGGGGGGTGGGGCGTGGTGGGTGGTGGGGTGGGGTGGGGTGGGGTGGGCCCGGCCATGCCGCGGAAGAAAAACGCGTAAGTCATTCGCGCGCCGCAGCTCAACCTAGCGACGCGCTGCCCGCAAGGCCCTTGCATGGTCCCGAAAATCGGAACAGCGACTGCGCAACTTGGCACCACCGGGCCAAGGAGACTGCGCGCGCTGCGCAGCTACGCAAGGACGGGGACCCGAATTTGACGCAAGAATGCAGATCATGCGCACTGGGCAGGTCTTTGCTTGCTGGCGACTGGCTGCCCGCGAGCAGCAGCTGCTGGAAAAGTGGGAACCACACCCCGAAACCGCCATGTGATGGCCTCTTGCTCAGGTACTTGCATGAATGCGCCGCAATCAACATCCAGGCTGTGGCTTCTGCGCTGCAGGCATGCAGATTGGCCATGTTCCAGGGGAAGTCGACCAAGTCCACTGTGGAGCCCGGCACACAGATGTCGGGCATGGCCCCCGCAGCCTGCGAGCCTGCGAATCGTTTTTGAGGGCCTCGGATCTGGAGCAGCTCTACCGGGAAATGGCCGAGTATCGCTGGAACGCCAGGGGCCCAAGGCTTCTACATAGTTCGATTTGCATATGCGCAGGTGGATTTGTGGGATCTCTCCGACTGAGAGCGACATAGGGGTGTGCATGCAAGAGTGCATGGTAACCGGTAGGGTATGAACGACTCATTCATAGCATGCATACCTCACTATTTGTACCGTAGGTCAAGTCACAAGTTGTCAGAGTTCCTGTCCAGGATACCACTGTATTCATTGCTTTACACTGGCATGGCATGGGCAAGATGCACATGCAGCTTGCGATAAAACCCGTCAAATCATCAGCCCGTCAACTGTGCTTCTCCGTATCCTGAACAGGTTGTACATGTGTCTCTGAAATCTGAGATGGCAGCACTGGTTGGGGAAGCCGGGGGGAGCATGCGCCGCATGTTCAAAAACTGCAACTGATGCTTCGATCCGACTCGAGGGGAACTTAGATGTCTCTGGCCGTCGCCTTGGCTCAGTTTGGGTCTCGGACTTCTCCAGGCGCATGGCGCATGCCTCTCCGGGACTCCGGTGGCGCGAATCCGATCGGGAATCGGGAGGCCATGGCGCGGCACGGGGCCTGGGCCCTGCTGGCCCTGGGCGTGTGGCGCGGAGCCTTATGCGATCGCCAGAGATGTTGAGAAGTTGAGAGAAGTTGAGAGATGAGCGGCACCGGAACAGGTCCGCCGCCTTTGTGAACATCGGCAGGCGGAACCAATTGGCCTGAGCTCTCAATGCGACCGACACAGCAGGCAGCTTGTCACGAGCTCCACGAGCTCCTCGGGCTCATCTCCAGCATGGGTAAGGCGCAGTGGCGTGGACGGATCATAAATGTGCTCAAGATCAAAGCCAATCGCATTGCTCGATGCAATTTTAAGAGCAAAGTGCCCGTCTTGTGCGCCCAAGTCTCATCGCGCTTGGCTCAAAGACATGGGCAACATTTGATCGCCAAACACAATCAAGCCCATGCAAACATAGTTTTTCTTCTGAGAAAAAGAAAAAAACAGTCGACAAGTCCTCAAGCAACCGCCATTGACGCAGAGATCGAAGAGCAGAGCCTCAGTGACTCAGCCGATGGCTGCGGTGCCGTCTGGCGGTCCAGGCGGACCCCCAGCTCCAGCTGGATGCGAGGCGAGACAGAGAAGTCAATTGGTTTCGATCCTGGCGCGTGGCCATGTCGGGCCATGTGGGCCATGTGGGCCATGTGGGCCGTGTGGGCCATGTGGGCCATGTGTGCCGTGTGTGCCATGTGGGCCGTGTGCAAGAGAGTGCCAATCAAGCCTTGAGGTCCGTGCAGCGGCACCTCCCAAGGGCTTTGGGCTCTTTGCGTGTGGCGCCTGCCCCGCGTACACGGAGATGTTCACGGAGGACATGCCTTGTTCGATGCGTGCATTGCGCCCGTCCACTCCGCGTCCTTGTTCCAAATTCGCAGAGAGAACACCAGGCTCGCCAAAACGTGAGGTCACAAGACTGGCTGGACATTTCACAAGTCCAGGTCTGACATCACATTGAGGGTATACTGTACTACTTTGAATTTGATGAAGCATCACTCGTTTTTTGCTGGATTGAACCGCTGCAGGCACGAGTGAGACTGTGCAGTGCTGCATGTAATCAATGTGATACGCTTAGGGTCAGAACTTCGAGCCTGGCGAGCTTTCTGCCACAAGCTTTGTGTCTTGAGGCAGATGCGTTCTTTGCTCGGTATGACACCGGTGTTGCTTCTTCGAAATCGATTTGTTCGCCAAAAACGCTTCAGGCTTGCCTTCAAGCCCAGCGTGCGCGCCTTTCAAGCATCGGTTAGGAGCCGCTTTTTGCCATGCAGCACTCGGGGAACCGCCGGGTGGCCGCGGCGCTCAGAGCTGTCCGAGCTGTCCGACTCGCGAGTCAGCGAGTCAGCGAGTCCGTTCGGATCGGCGTAGGTGGCCGCGTGCGCGCGCTGCTGTGGTTTCATTCACTCGGTGCCGCTGCAGCTAGAGGCAGGAAAGATGATGGAAACGGAATATGCGAAAAGTCTTTGCGAATTGACGAATGTGCTCCGATGTTTTGTGCATGTGTAGACGTTTGTTCATTGCAACATGTGTAGAATTGTGTCATCCATGTGCATTGCATAATTGTTTGCCAAGTATTTCAGCATGGCCACACCAGGCAGATTCGACATGGCCATGTGACGGAACATTCTGCAGGTCATCTTCGGGGAGAGCCGGTTCGCTCCGCTGCTGGCGGCTCTTGGTGACCTGCCGCAGAGATGGCAGGCGCGCCAGACAAGAGGCCAGGCACCAGGCAAAGAGACATGAGCCGTTGCAAAACATAGCCAGTTGGTCAGTGCAAAGATGTGTTTGCTTAGAGTGCAAGAGTGTCTCTTAAGGTCAATTGCTTTCGATAGTCCGATGGCATTCGATATCCGTCTTGAAGGTGAGTGCTGGTGAAGGGCCTGCAAGTGTCGTGCGCTGCGCTCAAGGCGAGGGCTAAACTTCTTGACACGGATTCGATATTTCACGCGCAGGCTGTGGAGAGATCTACTGCTCGGAGGACTGGGATTTAAGTTGATAGTGACTTGGAGTGACTTGGAGTGACTTGGAGTTGGAAAGGGGTCGGAGGGTTTGCACTGGAGGCATGCAGAGACGCACACTTCCAGCAGTCCCACAATTTGCTTTGTGCTGCTTGGCTGCGGAATTGGCGCGTTATGTGGACTCATGCTCCGACACATCCTGCTGCCAAGCGGAGGTTGGGCCCTTGAGCGAGGAACCAACGAAGTCTGGAAAGCATTGAGAAAGTGGCCTCCTTGCACAATGCTCTGGTCTCGTGGCATCAGTCCCTGAAGGATCACCCCCTGTTGCGCTTCAAATACCATGCCTTGGAGCATGCAGACACGCTGTTGTTGGCAGCTCAGGCCGGATGCTGACAAATCAAGCCGCAAAATGTCTGTGGCGCAGGTTTTCGCCTTTCTTATCAATCGGGCCAAAGCTGCAGGGGGTGGACCAGAGGCCTGTGAGGCTTAGAAGATGCTTGGGTAGGTTTGTTGTGCGCAGGTCACCCGGAATTTGATGCAAGAGCTGTTGTGCTTCTGCTTTGCCCTCACAATCGCGGCGATCAGGGTTGATCATTCTCGGCTTGAGGTCATGCCCCCTTCAGGGAAGCGTAGAGCTCTTAGAGACCTCGAGACCTCAGTCGCTGTTATAGGTCAGTCTAAGCGCCGAGCGTGAGGTGCCGACCTCCACCCGGACGAGCCAAAGATGCTGAGTTTTACGCCCTTCAGCTAGAGATCTCACGAGGGTAGCCCCCGCTTTTAGGGGTTTTCTGATGTTTTCTGGTTAATTTGGCTCAAACAACATCTACCCCGGGCATTCTTACAGCATAAATCGGGCATTGACCCGCTCACGCTGAGGCGCACACCGATGGCCTCGTGAACCAGGCTGCAGCTCTGCTGAGAGCAGCGCTGGAGCCACACGCGCCGGTAGAGGCCAAGAGAGAGATTGAGAGGGGAGATTAGGAAGGAGAAGTCAAGAAATGGCAAGAAGCCGTCTGACAGCACCAGAACTGTTGAACGCCAATGTTCTTTGCCCAGAGGAAAACTCATTTCGGGGCAGGTGGGTGCGCTCTTCCAAGCTGGGCCCGGCAACAGATTCGGTCAGGAGGTTGGGATGCTCGGCAGCTCAGGTCCGCATTCTTCTCTGAGGTGCTGGGTATGTTCGCCGGGCCGCAGCAGACATGGTCAGTGCATGTTCCGCTGGGCGCCCAAGGAATACAACAACATCGACCTGGAAGTGCGCACTCTCGGGCCTGGAAAATCAAGCAAGCAGACAGCAGACTCCGTAAAGAAACATGCTTTGAGACAGACCAACTGCCCGAGGTTGCATCACCCATGGGCCAGCTGCTGCTGCAGAGAGCCGGGGACCGGATCGGTGACGATCGGTAGCCATCGCCTCTGGGTCTTTGGCACTCGCAAGGCAAAGGCGCTCTCCCTGTCGGATGGTCAGGCCGCTTTCGCGCGTCCAGAAACGTCAAAAGTAGTCAGTCAGATAGTCGGACAGTCAGAGGTGTAGGCCAGACTCGCGTGAGTGACTTTACAGGCGCTGGCGGAGCTGCAACAGATGGAAGGCTTGCTGAGGGAAAAAGAATGGGCCCGCTGCCCGGCTGATCCACATGTAGCAATCACTAGATTTATCACGATTCATCACTCTCAGGTCATGCGCTGTGTTTGGGGTGAGGACGCCACATACTTGCGAAGGGTTTGGAGCCGTGGCAGCCACGGCCATGCCAGGAGACCACCGGAATTTATGGAGACTCAGCGAAGATATTCACTGGCACCCCTTGTGCATCCCGTTTGTGAGAGCCAAGGCGACGAAGTAGATGAAGCTGCTTAGCGGCAAACCCCATATTTCATATACTTCAAATATACTTCATGAATTTGAATCTCTTCCCATTGCAAGCCACACTGAGCCCTAGGGGTTGGAACCTCAAGACACCAAGGATTCGAGCCAACCGCAGGAGATGGACACCATGATGCAGGCGGGAATCCATTTATTTCTGCTCGAGCCCTTTTCCGCATGTTTTCTTTCACCATTTAATTTGCCAGGCAATGGAGCAGGGGAACGATGAGCAGGTGGTAACTGCCGGGGACATAGACTCTCAAGCCGAGCTCGGCTAAAGCCTGTCGCTGAGGCGGCCATGGCGCATGCCCGGGCAGAAGTGGCCCAAATGTCCCTGGAGCAACTCCTTCAGGTGTCGTGCGGAGAGCAGTTGAGATAAGATTTGAATGTCGAGTAGACTTAGTAGACATTGTGCTATATGATGTGGTCTATGTGGTGGAGATTGTGCGTGTGTCTTTGTTTGTTTTGGCTTGTACACAATGTACTTGACGCGCATGTCAAATATGTCTTGTGGATCTCAACTTGTCAGAGTGCTCCGGTATTTCTGAGGAATCCACAAGTCTTGCTGAGCAGTTACGGCACTTGCTTGTGATTCCTGCATGCTCTGAGCAGACCTCAAGACCTAAACTCAAACGGCCCACACCAAGCCGAGCTGGACGGACTGGCAGAACATGTCCAGGGCGTTTGGCCATCCATGCACGGAACCGGCCTCTTCTCCTCGGTGGCTCGCATGAACCACTCCTGAGCCTCGGCGACGGGATACACCGGGATCTATCAGGGGATATATTTTGGGCATGCGTCCGGAATGAGATGGCCCAATGGCCTTTGGGTGCGACGGTGCGACGGTGCCACTCCCCGCAAACCTTGGCATCCTCCCAGGCGCGCCCAACGTGAAGGCGCGAAGCCGAGTGGCTTTTCGGAGGCAAACGCCGAAGTGAGGTGACCTTTCCCGGGAACTCGTCTCGGCTCACCACCACCTCTGCAGGGGCCTCTGATCAAGCTTTCCCCGTGCTGGATTCAGCTCCAAGGTTCTGAACATTTCGCCTGGTGATGAGCTATGCATTTGCTACGTCAGCCAGGATAGCCAAAAAAAGTGAGAGCTCTGTTTGGACAGACATTGATTTTGGTAAGTTAGGACGGCAAGTCGCATTTTCCTCGCAGGAGGCAGATGTGCAGACAAGGAGACGAAGGCTGCTCGAGTACGGCTTCACTTGCTGCTGCAGCCGATGCCTAGCCGAGGACACTTTTTCGTGATTCGCCGGCTCTAGTGTCACCGTTTTTCAGGACTCCACTGCCCTCCGAAAAGCGCAGAAGCGGCTCAAGTGAGAGTTATTGAGAAAGCCGACGTTCAATGCGCAAGAAAAGGCAGAGAGGGGATTGCAATGCGTTGCAATGCGTTGCAACGGGATGTTTGCGCGCAAAGATGGGCCGAGTCCTGACGGCTGTGCTTTTGCCCGACTGCCAGGCGCTCCCAGGTGCCGCGGCAACTCTTTGGCGGCCGGGAGAAGGCAAGGCTCGCACTGTGCTCCGGTTGGACCCTACCAGGCGTTTGTTTTGGAGTTCCCGTTCAGGGTTCATTTTGCGACTGTGGAAGGAAACTCCTGGCGGCAGCATCTACGATTTCAAGGCAGTCAGAGTTGCCGGAGCCACCTTTGCTTCACCAAAACTTGTGCAGGTGAAGAACATTGACGGGCAAGAGGTTTCCCTCAGCGACTATGAGGGTAAAGTTGTGCTCATCGTCAATGTGGCCAGCAAATGAGGACTGTTGATCCGCTTGCTTGCACAAACCGAAACATGCCGAAGACTGATGTCAGTTTGCCTCCCCCGTCGCCATCCATCGCCAACATGTCCCACTGAGTTCGCCAGATTCGGCAGACGCAAACTCACGAAGCAGGTCTGACGAAGTCAAACTACGCTGAACTGTGTTTGCCCCAGCTGACTGGCTAAGCCACTCTGAGACCTGCTTGTGCATGTGGGATGTGCCAAGTTGTGAACTCTACCAAAAGTACCGATCTCGCGGCTTTGAGGCGGAGAGCGGAGAAGGAATATGAAGGAATTGAGATAAATTGAGTGTCGCTGTGAGGTGCTGGCCTTCCCCTGCAACCAGTTTGGCGGCCAAGAGCCCGGGACCAACACGGAGGTGAAGGCGCGCGCGCTCTGCGCTCTCTTCTGCTCTCTTGTGCTCTCTTCATTGGGCTTCCAAGAGGCCTTTGCGCAAGCCAAGTGCCCGGACACCTTTCCGCTTTTCGCAAAGATCGATGTGAACGGCGCCAACGAGGCCCCGCTCAGTTTTCAGATCGGGCCTAGCGCCCAAAGCAAAGTCTGCACAGCCAAACCAGCGCATCATGGCCCAAGGTGAAATTCAACGTGCCTTGTAGACTGGCTGAGGTATGGTCGGAGGGGAGAACTGTAACCATTTGCATGTTCTCCAAGAGAAATCACAGCAATTATTTCGTTTATAGAGGCCAACAACTGAGAAGCTCAATAAAGTTTGCTCTTTGGCGAGGAGTCGGCCCGATGTGTTGTCGCGGCGACCGACAGGCTCCACTCTACACCTTCCTCAAAGGCAAAAAGGGGGAGTTGCAGTGGCCTTGGCCATTCGTTGCCCTCGGTTGCCCTCGGTTGCCCTCGGTTGCCCTTGCCCATTGCGCACAGGTTGGGGAAGGACATCAAGTGGAACTTTGCGAAATTCCTGGTGGCCGCAGCCCGAGCAGCCCGAGTCTTTGTTCTGCAAGAACGTCCGAGCCCAGCCTGAGGACCGACAGGGCCAGCCGGTTGCCCGCTTTGGACCCCAGCAGGCCTGTCGGCCTGTCTGCCTGTCTCAGCAGATCCGTGTCGCCCGTGGTACGCCCGTGGTACGTAGCTTCACGAGGCGCCAACCTCCTTCGAGGACGAGATTGTGAAGCTTTTGTAGACTTCGGAGATGTTTTTCTCCAATTTTCTGTTGCCGCAAGTCGCAGCACCAACAACCATTTATAATTTTAAAACCTTAGACAAACGGGCTCGGTACTCTCGAAGCTCCTCTTAGTCAGGCATGAGAGCGGCACTTGTACGGTGTGCAGCTTGCCATGCGTAGCCAATGACGCGCCATCACTGCAAGTGATCCAGCTCCTGCCCCTTGGTTCCTACGTCAATGCCTAAATTTCAAGATGCAGGGGTTGGGCTGCAGACAGCTACAAATGTGGCACAATGTGCACTTGTGCCAACTCTCACTGCCGCAGGAAAGGGAGCGAAGGAAAGGTGGCATATTTCAGCAAGGGTCATTGGGCATGTGGGTCAGCAATCCTTGTGCCAATCCTGCCAATCCGAGGGTGGTGGCAGCTGTTCAGCTTTCGAGCTGCTGTGCCTAAAGGAAAAGGTACCCAATATACCAAATGCATGATAAAACTGAGCATTCAAGGGGCCCACCGATTCAGGGCAAACCAGCACACCATGAGCCAATGTTCAATCGTTCGATTGTCCCTTGAAAGCCAGCAACAACGCAAAACATTCGGGTTTTTTCGCTTCGACCCGCCCAATCCATGCAGAGGGCCGCGCTGGAAGCACTTGCATCCGTTGCTTTTGGATCTGCCCGACCCTCGCAGAGAACCGCAATCCCGAGCAGCGTGTGCGTTCCCACCTTGCCGTCTGAGAAAGCAAAATTTGAAAAAGATGCAAAATTATCGGAGCACGTTTCTTTGAGCAAGTTCCCTTCGCAAGTTCTCCGCGCAAGACTCTCAGCAAGTTCTGTAGGCAAGGCTTTCAGCAGTTCTCTGAGCAAGTCCTCTCTGCAATTGTTTCTGTGCAAGTTTGTCCGGGCCACTTCTCTGCGCAAGCTTTCGGAGAAAATTGTCTGAGCAAGTCCTCTGCGCAAGTTTCGCTACGCAAGCGCTCTGACTCTCTGCGCAAGTCTAGATGCCTGAGCTCCTTCAGCATCGATCCGAAAGTCCCGAGGTGGAGGCCGAGTGACGATGAGAAATGGCAATAGCTTCCCCTGGGGCAGTCGCATAGGTCGCCGCTTGCGCATTGTGCGCGCAGGCCGCACCGGCTACGCGTGCAGGCCATCGAGTTGCTAACTTCGTGGGTTGCTATCGTCTCGTGGCGCAAGCGCTTGCGTTGAGGCTCTTTCCGGCTCTGCCAGAATCGATTGATCGATTTCCCGCGGGCGGAGTGTTGCACGGTGTGGAATCAATCTGAGAGTTAGCGTGGCGTGTCACAGCCGCTCGCCTTTGGCTATCAACCAAACCCAAGCTTGAAACTCCATGTGCGCTACTTTAGCAAATTGGTGCGCGAGTTTCGGTTCAAGTCACGCACGCGGCCAGGGCCAAAAGAACACTCATCTTAAACGACCACAAACAGCTAGGCCATTGCGTGTGCCGCGTCTTGCGAGCTTTCTTGATATGGTAAACATGACAGCAAAACATTGGCGGGAAGCTGCAACATCAAAGGCTCAGAACCCGGGAAGCATCGGTCAGGTTGAGAGGTTGTTTGGCAGTTCACCAATGCATGTTTGGCAGGGTTGGTATAAAATAAGGAACCCATACGATCGTGCCTTTTCGCAGCAAAGAGATGAAACAAGAACTGAAAGGCGCTACTTCTAGCACCTCGCCACCCTTCCCAGGCGGCCTAGGTCCGCGGAGACCACATGAACCGAAACTGGCCTAAACCCTACAACAGTAGCCTACAGTAGAAATCAATCCAAACTCGGTTCCCGTTCAACCAACAGATACCAACATTATTTATCGTGAAAGATATAAATCCAATCTCTGCTGTTGGTGCATTCAAAGAACTGCAGGCCAACAAGCTAAGCTAAGCAGCCAAAGGACCTAAGGCTAGGTGCACCCGCAACAGTCGACTCCCGGGCCATTGCCATGGGAGTGAGCATAGGGGAAAAGGCCTGCGGTTCAGGCACAGAGTTTGGCGCGCGGAGTTTGCAGGTGCCATGTCGTTCCCTCTGCCGCCGAAGCCCCGGTGTCGACTCTGCGACCTCGAAGTGGCCGAGAAGGCACAGAGAGCACAGAGAGCGCAGAGAGCACAGAGAGCGCAGCTCATTAGACTGCGGAGTGCGGAGTGCGGAGTGCGGAGCCCAGCCTTGTGAGCGAGGTGATCGGTGAAGGGTCCTTGGCTTTGGTGCGCATCGCCACCGAGAAAGCCACGGGGAAACGCTTTGCATTGAAGGACGGGATCTCTCTACCACGTCAGGTTTTGCGCTTCGTTCCAATGTCAATTCGTATTCCACCCAAAAGATCAGCAAAGCAGCCCCCCTGACCAGCACCATGACCAACACCAGGACCAACACCAGGACCAACACCAGGACCACCCTGACCAGCACCTGCTGCCCCCACCTGGCCCGATTTCGCTCAACAAACCCGCCTCTTTAACCTGGGAACCCCTTCTAGCTTTCAGCTCTTTGGAAAAAATGTTGCCATTTGCATTATGAGGAGAGATGGAGGGAGGGACTGCCAGATGGATCTGCCTTCAGGCCTTTGACCGGGGGATTCTGCGCAGCAACCACAAGGAGGCAGATGTGACAATCGAGGAGCGCAGATGCACGTCACTTCTGGTAGAGACTCAGGGAACATTCATGTTTCGTGAAATCGGCCTGGCAAATACGTCGATTCAGCATAGTCATACCATTTGCCTGCATAGGTGTTGAAAGATTGATTTCTGTCAGGAGCATTGCCTTCGAAGAGCCAACCACCCTGGAATCGTTCGCGGCCTCAGCTTGTTTTTGCTGTGGCCTGTCGTGTGACTGATGAGGTCAAAATCTACGCGTCCTTCCGAGACGAGGCCGGCAAGGCACGCATGAAGCGATCAACGCGCGAGTTGGCACAAGGCATGGCACTACTTCACGCTGGAGCTGTGCCCCGGCGTCTGCCTGGCAGTTTTGCCAGTTGCAGTTGCAACCATTGAGCGTGGGAAGCATGGAAGCATGGAATTAACGCAGTGCCAGGGCGATTTGTGGACAATGGTGCGTCATGTGGGGTGCGAGGAGCATCTTGCAAGGCTCATACGGGGAAGACTGCAGTGACTGCACGTCGCGCATGGTCAGTGCTGAAATGGACGATTGTTGAGCCAGGCACTACCTGTCCCAAATTCTTGAAGTCGCCCATGCCTTCGAGCCCGCAATGTGTTGATTTTCAGTCATGAAGCCAAGGTGCAGTATCTCAGAGACGCATCCATTGTGCATCGGGACTTGAAGTGCGCTCACACCTGTTTTCCGATCCTGACATCAACCTTTTCCCGATAGGGCTGAGAACGTCCTCATCGGAGCAAAAGGAGAGGGCGGGATGAGGGGAGCCTGTGACATCTTTGACATCCGTGACATTCGTAACAGGGACATTTGTGAGTTGCGTACCGTCTGCCGCTCGCAAGGAAATTGCAAATTGATTGACTTTGGCAGTGCCAAAGACTTGGCGAACCCACAGGCTGACCCCTCTCGTGCCTCACAAGCCCTACAACGTGCCACAATCTCACAGGTGAAAGGCGCTGGCACGCATAACTTCAAGACCGTCATGCAGGACAATGGGAGCCAAAAGTTCTGTGGGTCAAACCTGCCAGGTATGCCGACGCATGCAGACATGTTTGTTGCAGTGAAGAACCCAAGGACTATGTGGGAACATCTCACTTCATGGCTCCAGAGGCATCTTGTTAAGCTCATGTTCTGCGGTCTTCTGCGTAAGTCAGGTGGTCAAGAATCAATGCTCGGATTTCCGGTCGGACACATGGTCTTTGGGCTGCTTGGCAACCTGGCTGCATTGAAAGGCTGGATTCACTGATGCAGCTTCCGGCTATATTGAGGTCTTCGAGGTTCTCACTGGCATGCCGCCCTTCTATGGAGGGTGCGCCTTGCACGGCTTTGCACTGTGGACATCTATGGACCCTTTGTACTTTGCTAGGACCCTTTGTCGCGTGTACAAAAAGATCAGCTCGGTGCTCGATGGAGTTTTCTTTTTTTGGTGCATTGCGTCATTGCGTTGTGGCAAGGCCGCGCCCAGCTGGACTTGCCGGCACATTGGCTCAGCGCCGCCGCCACAGACCTCATCCTGCGCATGGTGGTCCAGGCATCCGGGCCTGGGCGCGTTTTCAGAAAGCTCCCAGAAAGTTCCCAGAAAGTTCCCAGAAAGTGAAGTGAATCAGAAAGTTAATCAGTGAAGTTCTGAAGGATCCAGACGCCCGGCTGGGAGGGCATGACCTTCGAGAGCTAGAGGCAAGCGGCGCTCCTGTCGAGCCTTTGGCCCATTGGGCACCAAGCCTTCGGAGTTGACTCAAACCCTTCGCCCATCCATACCCATTCCTTGGAGCCCTGTCGCTTCTCCCAGTGAGAGTCACAAGGTTAATCCAAGGGTCAGCATGGCTTTGGCTAGGAGCATCCCTTCTTTGGCCTGGGCTTTGCAGGCTAGGTGCCCTGGGTGCCCTGGGTGCCCTGGGTGCCCTGGGTGCCCTGGGTGCCCTGGGTGCCCTCTCGCCTCCCGCCTCCAGCCGCTCTTTCGGCTTTGGCAGGCGCGCACAAGCGTGCAGCGCCCGTGCGCAGCTTGGAGGCTGGCGATCACAACGCTGTTGCTGGCTGTTTGCTCAGAAACCAGGAGATGTGCCTTCGACATATTGGACGACATTGGAAAGAGTGGGCTGCTTCAGGGGGCTGTCGCCTTCAGGTTCTGTCTCACTTTCTTGAGGTTGGGGGAGAGAGCTCAGCTTCTTGCTGCCAAAGAAACCAAGTTGAGACAGGAGGCTGATCGAAAGCGACGTGTTGAAGTAGTTTCTTGTTCTGACCATAAAGCAGAGCCTTGCGCAGGCAGTTTCAACCTTGCAGCGCATGGCCGACGTCCACGAGCTGATGGCGCGGGTTTTCGACGTGGGCGTGCGAGGTGTGCAGTGCTTTGTGGGTTGGTTCGTCCCAGGGCGGCAAAGCCGACGAGGGCGAGACGTCTTTGTCCGAGGCGCAAGAGACAAATTCAGAGGCAGAGCTTTGAGATGAATTTGTGAGGAAGATGGGGAAGATCCTTGAATATCCTTGACACCTCTGACGCCAGAGGTGAAAAGAGTGTTTGGCAGTCACGCGGAAGCTAATCAAATGTCCGATCGATGCATGCCGCTTCGCACGGCTCCAAGAATTCGCATTGTTTTTTGAGAAAGAACATGTAAGAGCAGAGGTGACTAGTCACAGGGATGCTTCCATGACGCAGCCATGGTGTTGCAAGGAAAGTGCGCAGATATGACTCAGGCTAGGTGCAAACCTGACACCTCCAGGGCAAGTCTGGCCGGAAGAGCCAATGTCTTGATGGTTGGGCAGCTGCCGCAGGCACTTGGCCTTATGCACTTCTCTTGCTTTGATGTCAGCACAGCATCAACGAGCCTCAGACCTGTGCGTGCTGTCTACCATATTCTGCATTCGCTCGAGGTGTGTGATGCTTGCGCGTTTGCAGAGTCGTTTGATTTGGCTGTTGCCTTCCGCAGGGAATTCGAAGGTGGTTCACTGAAGATGCGAGGCCTGTGATGGGGAGTGTCTCTTCAATCTATTTCAAGCTGCAACGCAGGCAACTGAGTTGCTCCCCATCTGAGTATTGCTATCAGGACTCGTGGGCAAGGGTGGGCAAAACACGTGATGTGATCCATGACGGCCATTCGGCACAGCTGGATGTCGGAGTGTTCGGAGGATTTGCATGATGCAACCGGCGGTTTCAGCACTGCAAACAGGCAGAGGGCCGAGTGGACCGAGTGGACCGAGTGGACCGAGTGGACCGAGTGGACCGAGTCGCGAGGTTGGGCTCCGGGGCCGGCTCCGTGCGCCGTGTCTCCGGCCGAAACCTTGCAGAAAGAGATCGATACTGAGGTGTACAGAGGCCTCTTGCGAGGCACCAAGGTGGCTGTTAAGGCTGGCACGATCGAAAGTCAAAGAGTCCAAGAGCATGTAATGACCATGTAATGAGCATGTGCCATACAATGCACGCTGCAGAAGCTGAGGGCCAGGGTCTTTGTGCAGGCCATAGCCCTAGATGAGGAGAACTTCGAGGAAGAAGTGCGACTGCTCAGCCGCCTAAGCCTCGAGTGTTGGCTCGTTGCAAAGCGACACCAAGTCAACCGTTCAACTCTCTCGTCATCTCTCGTCCGCATTGGCGATTGGATGGAAGCGTTGGGCTCCCTCGTGAGGTTTCCGCCATCCAAACTTGGTGTGCTTGCTTGGCTGGGCAACCAGCCAGTCCGAGCCCCAGATTGTGCTAAAACGGAAGCTAACGTGGAGCGAGCGCACAGGCATGAACAGTACCTGATCTATGAGTTCCTTGCTGGGGGTGATCTACACCACCACCTGGAGCTGAGCAAAACTGGTGCTCCATTCGCCGCGTCAACTCGCGTTTCTGCAGCCTTTCAAGCTGCGTGCGGGCTCTCCTACATGGTCAACAGCACGCCTAAAGCCTTTCACCGCGACATCAAGCCTGCCAACATCCTGCTTGACAGGTGCGATCCTTGGTGCTTTGAATTGGCATTGCAATTGGCGTCTTCCGCCAGTGGCGTGAGGAACGGTACGGCCAAGATGGTAGACTTCGGACTGTCCGGCACCGTGAAGGCTGGGCATTCCGGAGGCGAGTCTCGAGGGGAGATTGGCTCAGGACCACCAGGCGCATCTAACGGTGGACCGTATCAGCGGCACGCCGGGGTGACCCGGGGTGACCGAGAGTCTCAGTTTTGGCCGTAACGCGTCGACCGCGACGCGTCTCGAGGTACGCCTGCCCCTTCTACATTCAGACGGGCCAGGTCAGCGAGCGCTCTGAGGCCAAATGCGCCCGAAGAGGGCATCAAGTTTGCCAGAGTCTGAGGTATACTCTTTTGGTACGGCCTGAGCCTCAAGCGGAGGGAATGTCAAAGGTCCACATCGATTGAGGCAAGTGTCTTAGTGTGCATAGCCCTTAGGTCCTTCTGGAGCTCATCGTGAATCAGCCACCTGCGCTGATGGATGAGAGAGGACGTGTGTTCCAAGGTTCGGCGCATGTCACGCGTTTTCACGTTCTTTCCGTAGGAAGTATCGTCTACCCGATGCTGCAGACCATCCAGCCAGCCTCCCCTGGTGCCCTGGATCGCGTCCTCAAGCATGCGGAGGATGCCAGGCTCGCTCACAACTCGCAAGCCACGAAGTCTGCCAGCTTGGGCTCGGGCAGGTGGTCCTTGCTGCAGGACTTTGCGGCTTTGGCCCTGAAATGCGCACGGGAACCCAGATGTTCATCACTGCCAATCACTAATTAATCCTCCTTTAATGATATTTGGGCCAGAACTGTTTCAGACTGCGTTGTTTAGTACTGGCATCAAATGGGAAGGGGGGCCCCCTTTGATTTGCAGGAAAAGTGTTCAACAGGCAATTTCCGAGTTCCCGAAAGCATCGCGAAGGGTTCTTCCGTGCGGAGCCCTTGGACAAGTTACATAGAGCCAAGTTACCATAGAGCCGAGTTACATAGAGCCAAGTTACCATAGAGCCAAGTTACATAGAGCCAAGTTACACAGAGCCAAGTTACACAGAGCCAAGTTACACAGAGCCAAGTTACACAGAGCCAAGTTACACAGAGCCAAGTTACATAGAGCCAAGTTACATAGAGCCAAGTTACATAGAGCCAAGTTACATAGAGCCAAGTTACATAGAGCCAAGTTACATAGAGCCAAGTTACATAGAGCCAAGTTACATAGAGCCAAGTTACATAGAGCCAAGTTACATAGAGCCAAGTTACATAGAGCCAAGTTACATAGAGCCAAGTTACATAGAGCCAAGTTACATAGAGCCAAGTTACATAGAGCCAAGTTACATAGAGCCAAGTTACATAGAGCCAAGTTACATAGAGCCAAGTTACATAGAGCCAAGTTACATAGAGCCAAGTTACATAGAGCCAAGTTACATAGAGCCAAGTTACATAGAGCCAAGTTACATAGAGCCAAGTTACATAGAGCCAAGTTACATAGAGCCAAGTTACATAGAGCCAAGTTACATAGAGCCAAGTTACATAGAGCCAAGTTACATAGAGCCAAGTTACATAGAGCCAAGTTACATAGAGCCAAGTTACATAGAGCCAAGTTACATAGAGCTTAGAGCTTCGGCGTTAGCAGCTATGTAAGTTAGTTTAGGTTTCTAAGGCGCCGGGGCGGGAGTTTGATCGTCGCTCGGGATTGCGACCCTCTGCGGAGATTCGCGTGGTCGAGGTTCAAAAACTGAGGACTTTTTACGATTTCTGCATGCGCGCGCGACCCTCTGCGGAGATTCGCGTGGTCGAGGTTCAAAAACTGAGGACTTTTTACGATTTCTAGCATGCGCGCGCGACCCTCTGCGGAGATTCGCGTGGTCGAGGTTCAAAAACTGAGGACTTTTTACGATTTCTGCGGTGCGCGCGCGACCCTCTGCGGAGATTCGCGTGGTCGAGGTTCAAAAACTGAGGACTTTTTACGATTTTTAGCATGCGCGCGCGACCCTCTGCGGAGATTCGCGTGGTCGAGGTTCAAAAACTGAGGACGATTTCTGCTGGCCGCGCGCGACCCTCTGCGGAGATCGTGCGCGTCGAAGCGCTCTCGCTGTGGCGCCGTGCGAATTTGTCTTAGTCTCGGCGAACCCTCTGCGGAGATTGTGCGTGTCGAAGTGCTCTCGCTGTGGCGCCGTGCAATATTCTTGCTCGCGAAACGGCCTTTGGAAGTTGTCTCGTGGTTTGCGCGCCTGCTTTCGCAATCCCGCGGTCGCGGGTTCGATTCCCCCCTGGTCCGCGGCAGCTCCGGCTTGAAAATCGCAGCTTTTAAGTACAAACGTAGTACGCGGAGCGTGCTCCTGCAGCTCCGGCTGGAAAATTGTAACTTTTAAGTACAGACGTAGTGTGCGGAGCGTGCTCCCGCAGCTCAGGCTGGAAAATCGCAACTTTTAAGTGCAAACGTAGTACGCGGAGCACACCCCCGCAGCTCCGGCTTGAAAATCGCAACTTTTAAGTACAAACGTAGCACGCGGAGCGTGCTCCTGCAGCTCCGGTTGGAAAATCGCAAATTTAAGTACAACGTAGTACGCGGAGCACATTCCCGCAGCTCCGGCCTGAAAATCGCAACTTTTAAGTGCAAACGTAGTACGCGGAGCACACCCCCGCAGCTCCGGCTTGAAAATCGCAACTTTTAAGTACAAACGTAGCACGCGGAGCGTGCTCCTGCAGCTCCGGTTGGAAAATCGCAAATTTTAAGTACAACGTAGTACGCGGAGCACATTCCCGCAGCTCCGGCCTGAAAATCGCAACTTTTAAGTGCAAACGTAGTACGCGGAGCGTGCTCCTGCAGCTCCGGCTGGAAAATCGCAATTTTTAAGTACAACGTAGTACGCGGAGCACATTCCCGCAGCTCCGGCTGGACAATCGCAACTTTTAAGTACAAAAAAAGTACGCGAAGTACATTCCCACAGCTCCGGCAGCACTTGCGCAGAGCAACTTGCGCAGAGTCACTTGCGCAGAGCAACTTGCGCTCTGCGAATTGCGCAGAGCACTTGCAAACAGCACTTGCGCAGAGCAACTTGCACAGACTAACTTGCACAGAGCACATGCGCAAAGCGCTCGCACGGAGCAACTGGCGCAGAGCACTTGCGCAGAGCAACTTGCTCAGAGTACTTGCGCAGAGCAACCTGCACAGAGCACTTGCATGCAGCAGCGTGCAGAGAGCAACTTGCCCGAAAGCAGCCTGGAACAATGCAGCTTGCGCAGACCACTTTCGTGAGAAATCATGCAGCGCAACTTGAGCAAAGCACATTGCGCTGAGCAGACTCGCGCAGAGCCACGCTTTATAGAGCCAAGTTGCGCAGAGCCACTCGCGTAAAGTAGCTTGCGCGCGCCAGGTAGCAGCGTGCCAAGTTGCGCAGAGCCATCTTGCGCAGAGCCAAGTTGCACAGAGCCAACTTGCACAGAGCCAAGTTACATAGAGCCAAGTGGCACAGAGCCAAGTTGCGCCAAGCCAAGTGGCACAGAGCCAAGTTGCACGGAGCCAAGTTGCACAGAGCCGAGTGGCACAGAGCCGAGTGCCACAGAGCCAAGTGGCACGGAGCCGAGTGGCACAGAGCCGAGTGGCGCAGAGCCAAGTGGCACAGAGCCGAGTGGCACAGAGCCCAGTGGCGCAGAGCCGAGTGGCACAGAGCCAAGTTGCACAGAGCCGAGTTGCACAGAGCCAACTTGCACAGAGCCAAGTTACATAGAGCCAAGTGACATAGAGCCAAGTTACCATAGAGCCAAGTTACCATAGAGCCAAGTTACCATAGAGCCGAGTTACATAGAGCCAAGTTACCATAGAGCCGAGTTACATAGAGCCAAGTTACATAGAGCCAAGTTGCATAGAGCCAAGTTGTACAGAGCCAAGTTGCACAAAGCCAAGTGGCACAAAGCCAAGTTACACAGGGCCAAGTTACCATAGAGCCGAGTTCCATAGAGCCAAGTTACATAGAGCCAAGTTGCATAGAGCCAAGTTGTACAGAGCCAAGTTGCACAAAGCCAAGTGGCACAAAGCCAAGTTACACAGGGCCAAGTTGCACAGAGCCAAGTTGCATAGAGTCAAGTTACATAGGGCCAAGTTACACAAAGTCAAGTTGCACAGAGCCAAGTTGCATAGAGTCAAGTTACACAGAGCCAAATTACATAAAATCAAGTTACGTAAGACCAAGTTGCACGAGCCTGCTTTGCAGAAGCTGTTGCATCGATGTAAAAGGGCGTCTCCACGGCTGGAAAAGCACATGATGGGAAGCGCTTGGGGAAAAATGCTTTCGGGCCAATCGTCCTCTAGTAAGAACTGTTGAAGGCAAGGCACTTTGTTTTTCTTCAAGAAACTCAATTATTATAGCCCTAGATTGTTTTCAAAAAGAGCCCCTCTGAAGGGAAGCCAGTGGAGAGCCTAAAAATACAGCCCTTGTCGAGCAAGGCAACATGAGGGAACAAGCGCTTAGAATACAAGGGTGACCCGGAAGAAGCACATTCGCAGAGTTTCGCTGAGTGGATCTGGGTTCAGGAGAGTTTAGTATTGGTTTAGTAGTGGGTAATTCAAAGAAGTATTGGCAATGTTTGGGGTCGGCTGGGGGGTTATTGTTAGGGGAAGGTCCGGAAGGTGTACAAATGCAGGGAGGTTACTGCCGTCGCTGCCATCACTCAGAGTGACTCGTCGCTTTTTCAAGGTGGACATGAACGCAGATCGCCGCCCGCTCTTCGAGGAAGTCGTGACAGCCAGCAGCCCAGGTGTAAGGAAGTTGACCAGCTCACGCTTAAGCCAAGACTACCACCCTCCCACCCTGGTCCATTCATGGTATATTGCAGTTGTGCGATCTGGGACTCGGAAGGTTGAAACATCCCACGCAACGCACCGGCCTGAAAAGGAAGTGCCAAGAGCCAGGCCGTTGTGCAGCCCGAACCCAACCTTCAAGACTGGCTCCCATGCCAAAGCCTTCCTCTCACACGCAAAGATCCGTCATATTGAGGTCCTGGATCCCAACCATCACAATCCAGGGTCACTGCCTGGATTCAATCACATCCGAATGCCAACAGCTATGAGTCCTCATGGGCGCTTTCACGAAGCAAGCTGGCAGTAACTCAAGCTGCCTAGTCCAAGGACCAAAACCCCATCTTTGAGACCCATGCGTGTTTTGTAAACAGCTTGTTTGTCCAATTCGGTATTTGATACGCTTCCGACAAGCCCGCGCAATCTTCTTTGGTCCTCAAGCCTTGGAAGTGAAGTTGTCTAAGCCACTGAAGTCTCCTTTGGAAACAGCTAGCAGCTAGTTGCACCTAACAGTTGTGGCCGAGTGCTCAGAATCACGGCCAGACTTGCTGCACCTGCCCATATCAAGCAGCAATTGTCTAAAGCATCGTAAAACCCGGGCTGCTTTGCAGCCCGAATGGTGGACAATCTTGATCAATGCCAAGTGCCCTGCCCTGCAGTGCGCTAATGCTGCAGATTGGGCTTGCTGACCTGTTGAAGCTAAAGCATTGTTTGCCTCGAGAAAAGATATGAAGAGACATACTCAGATCTCTGGATGCCCAGCATGCGGGTGAAATTCAAAGACAGAATTGAAATGTTGAGCCCAAGCCATCAGTCAGCAATGGAAGCTGGGGATGAGGATGAATGGGTGCTGGCCGTCCCATCCAAACACGCTGGTTTGGACATGTGTCAGCAAACACAGCGTCATGACTTGTCTTAAGCAGGTGACTGCAGCATCAAACGTGTGAATACTGGAGATGCTTTTGAGCGGGGCAACAGGTACTCGTACTGGACACACAATTCGGAGTTGTGTAAGAACCTATGCACCAGCACAACATTCAACGACGGGGCCAACCAACCTGATGAGATAGAGGATTCAACCTTTCATAGAGAAGCGATTCCATCCAAGAGAACCCCAATATAGTGAAGCTGAAGCGCGAGCGAGGCGCTGCGACGAATCTCCGGGCACAGCTCCGCGAGAGAACTTAGGAGCGCCCCTTTCACATCACTCAATTTCATGAGTTTCAACGCAGTGATGACGTGATTAAATCTGAACGATGACTCGATGACTTTGTTTTGAATAGGATCGAGGCATCTCATAAGGCAGTGGGCTTTTGTATTTTGCCGAGTCTGATCCAATGCAACCCTTGCGACCAGGCCAGCGGAAAGCCGGACAAGATGGGAGCTCAGGTTTCAGGACGGATTGTTTTAGGCTTGTAGATCATTCCAGATTGAGCTGAAGTGAGGAGCTTCAAGCCATAGGCGTGAAGCCCAGCCCGTTGCCCAGCTCACGGCTCACGGCTTGGCTCACCGCTTCCGGGCTGTGCGTCTTGTGGCAAGGGTGGCTGAGCTGCGACTTTTCTGCGCGCTTGGCTCAGAGTCTCAGAGTCTCAGCGATTCAAGTTGGATTCACAGCACTGCAGGCTTGGTCGCCCACGACGGCATCACCGCAGGGGTGCATCACGTTCAAGGCCCTCAGTCCGCTGTTTCGCCCTGTCCAAAGTGCTTGCCGCAGTGCCGCTCTGGCTCTGGGCCGATGTTTTGCTATGAGTCCGAGTCAGAATGCGACGAAGTAGAGTTTGATGGTGTAGCCCCACCGGCTCCGAATTTCACCCTGCTGGATGCGACATCTGCAGACTTGAAAGTTGCCGTGGTGCGGTCCTTCTTGTCTGCCAAAGACATCCACCGCATTCATGCTCTGGCGCGACACAAAGATGTCCGTTCCATCGACGACCGCTCTGACGATCTAGTCTACAAGCACGAGGTTTGGAGGCTCTGCACTTCGATCTGACAGGATCAAAACTCAAAGATTTGTCAGGATAGAGTGGCAGCTCAAAGAGACGTGCGGAGATATTTACGACCGCCTCATGGACACCGCCTGGGTGCGCGAGCCTGTTTGTTTGACCAAGCATGTGGCTAGCCATGTGCATCGCCAGGCATTGGACACCAGGCTTTGGCATGGCATCCGCGAGCACCGCGTGCTGTTTCCAGAAATTGAATACATTGCGCCTCTCGACAAGCCGGGTAGCGTTTCTGTGCCAGGTGAATTGAGCAGGCATTTTGAGGTTGGTACAAAGCCTGGACACGTAGCCAACTCAGGTATGATGTGAAGAGACTTGGAGAACCCGGAACCATTAGCAAGCACAGGGACAACGAGTCCCAAGTGACAGCTGTGGCATTGCTATCTGATCCCCGCGACTTTCAAGGCCAGCCGCCATCAGCCGCCCATGTACTTGATGTGCGATTGATCTCCATCCAACTGCGAGGAGGCACAAACTACTTTGAAGGTGATGCCGGAGATCGCTTTGTGAGGCTTGGGCTTGGCGACGCGGTGTTCTTCTATGGTGACCGTCCCTTGCCTGCACGGGCCGTGGATTCCGCGCATTCCTACGCTGGATCGGTTGCCCAAGGCTGTTATCACTGGATAACCCCTGTGACCGCTGGCAGACGCGTAGTCTTGCAAATGGAGCTGAGCAGAGATCTGCCTTGGTGGAAGTGCTGGTGAAAACGCACATTGATTTACAGGGTGCTTTGCTGCTCACAGAAAACGAAAAAGCAACGCAGCAATTATCTGCAGGGCAATGCAACTTGCAGTGTGAGGCGGATTGCCAGGAGGCATGTGTGGGTTTGGGCCTCAGAGACTTTGCAAGTCGAGTCTGCATGAAACTTGTAATGAGGCAGGCAGCACCAGCCGGAGTTCTTTGAGCGCCTAGTAGAAAAGGACGGTAGGGGATGGCAAGGGAAACCGAATGCAAATTGACTGCAACAGCGATTGTGGCTCAAACTGCAGGACCCAGGGACCACAGATATTGTTGTCGTTCCTACAAACTGGGAGTTGTGGGTATGCTATTTTGAGCCCACTGCGAGATGTCAAAGCAACGTTCATCTCGGCACATCCCTGCGCGTTTGAGGAGTCTTTGGGAATGATATCGAGGACACACTTCAAAATTTGCATGAGGCCAGCCGAGACGAGCCGGCGGGTGAAGTGTTGGGTTGAATCGAATGAATCTATGTATCGCATCTTGCTTCAGGCCAACGCCCAGTATTAGCAAGCTGTCTGCGCCGGATTCCTGAGATTTGCGAGCCTTGGCCCTTTGGATGACCAAGCGAGGAACCCGATGCTCGCGAATGGTGTCCCACTGCAGCAAGGCTTACATCGCCTACAGATGTGCAGTGATTGCCTGCACCACAGGTTCTATGATGCCCATTCATGACAATACATTCCTCAGCTTAGGAAGCTCAGGCAGTGCGCTAGCTACTTTGAACAACCTTCACAGCCTGCACTCAGATCCGGCCATCGTGCTTTGCGTACGGCTTCGAGCCCCTGAGCGCCCTATAGCAGCTCCGTGTGGCGCTTACAGATCTGAAGTTCTGAAGGCTTGTCAGTGTTGCACTTCAAACTGGTAGGTGCCGACAGCGACCAGGAGGCCTTGAATTCGCATGCAGCCTCCTTGACGCCCATCGCCCGTCAGTCGCTGCCCTCCACTGCGTGAAGTCAATTTGCCGCAGACTAAGCAGCAGGGCTGCCCGGGCCACGGGCCGTACGGGCCGTTTGCTTGAGTCTGGAGGCACGGATGTCCAGCAGCTGCCACAGGAGGATGGGACATGAAGAATGAGCATCAAATTATGGATGTCAGTGGAAAACGAGTGTCTCCAGAGATCGCCAGAGCTTCGGCGCAGTACGGGTCCCTTGTGGGTCTATGTCGCAGGCGAAGATGATTGTCTTGGCCTGTGGACGCACCATGGAGGACGGCTCATTCTGCCCGTGTGGCTGGGCAGTGTGAGATGCCAGGTGGGACGTCAGCATCAGATCGCTCTCTTCGACAAGCTTTTGCAGGCAAAGTGTGTCTTGTCTGTTCAGTGGCATGCCTGGCATGCCACCTGGGTCAGGCAAACCTCAGCTGGCTGACATTCATATCCCGAACGCACCTGAAGGCAGGCATTGGTGCAAGCATGCATGACTGTGCCAGTCATATTGGCAGGTATGTCTTTGCCAGGCGGAACTTTGTTTGCAGGCGCCACCGGTCCAATGCTTGTCCGCGTCGGATTGACTTGTATGGCATGATGCGTACAGATCTCACCCACCATGGCTTGCAGCTTTTTCCGGATCAGACTGGGCGGAATTTTCATGACGTCCCATGGACGAGGCTGGGACTGAGCAAAGCCTTCACATGAAGCACATTCGAGCAAAGGAGCCCCGTTGGCCTTTTCGCCCAGGCTGATGAGACCGTTGACAAGGTACAGTCCATTTTGGGCGCGGCCTGCCTGATTTGCTCCTTACACAGAGTTCCTCTCCAATAGCCTGAGTCATGAGCCAATCCCACATAATTTCCAAATTGGCATCCAGTATGTTCTTATTCCTAGGGTCCTGTCCTACAAGACTCCTTGGTTGGAAGGGCCGAAGATGGTCCCAAAAGGCTGGCTGAGGGATCTCAGTGAAATCAGCTGAGGCCTTCCAGCGATACGACGCGAATGGGGATGGCGTCATCGACTTCACAGAGCTGGGTGCCCTGATGCGGGGCCTCGCCGGCTCCGCCGCGGAGTGGGAGGACTGCCAGATCCGTGCGCTGCTGAAGGCCATGGACTCCAACAACGACGGCAAGGCCAGCGACAGCCGAAAAAGCCGAGAAGCGAAAGAAAGGCGCCGAATCCACCAGATCGAAAATGAGCGCAGGCTGTGCGCACGCGAACTCGGAAGCTTTGAGGGGCATTAAGTTGATCTTTCTGTTCACCGGCATGTCGCGGCATGTCCGAACACGTCTTCCGAAACTCTCACAATGCGTTTTGGCAAAGGTCAATGGGAAACAGGTTGCCGGATGATACTTCGGAAGGAAGATTACAACCCTTTCAGAGCCTGTCAGGTGGTTCTGACGGAGTTCGGCGCGTGGCTTTTCGGGACCCAGCTGACCCCGGAGGATGCATCCAAGCTAGAAGCTGCTGAGCAACGGCTCACACCGAAGGTCAAGGGCAAGGCCGCAAGCGCCAAAGGCGCTGCCAAGGACACTGCCGAGGACACTGCCAAAGACCCTGAAAAGGCCACTAAGGCTGCTAAGGCCACTGCCAAGGGCATGGCCAAGAGCAACGCCAAGAGCAACGCCAAGAGTGAGAAGGACGAAGAAGCCGAGGGCGAAGACGACAAAGAGGGAGATGAAGACGAAGGTGAGGATGAAGATGAAGAGGGTGAAGATGAAGGCGAGGAAGGTGAGGATGCAGAAGAAGATGAGTGCGACGAGTGTGACGAGGGCGAAGAGGGGGATGAGGCTGAAGAGGGCGAGGATGATGGAGATGATGAGTCTCTTGATGCGAAGGAGCTTTACACCTTGAGCCAGGCTAGCAGGAGTGCGGTGTGGACAAAGCTGATGCCTGCCCGAGAGGGCTCCGCACAAGACGCTGCAGAGCGGATGAAGAGCTTGAAGCCACCCAACCCTAAGCGGGCGGGTGACCACAAGCACGTGCTGCTGTATTTGCAGAACCACGCGGGTGGTCGGCGGGACGTGGACGGGGAGGCGCCCCCGGGCGCGGACCGGGACAAGGCGCTGCGCTGGCTGAAGGACGCGATGCTGAAGATCAGCGAGGCCCACGAGAAGTCGTACGCGCTGCCGGTGAAGTGGCTCATCGGCAACTGGCGGCTTTGGCCAGACCCCGGGGATGAGACGGAGCGGGGCTTCGTGGAGCTCAAGAGCTTGGCGGTGAAGAAGCTGGACGTCATCGGCAAGAAGTACGAGGAGCAGTACCGGGAGAGGAAGTTGGGCCAGGAGTTGGGGCTGGTGGGCGAGGGCGCTGTGCAGGTCGCTGTGCGGCCACGCCAGGACCACTACATCACTCCGCCGGAGGGATTCTTCGGTCTGAAGGAGCTGCAGGAGAAGGAGCTGCGCCGGATGGATGCTCAAGAGAAGGAGGACGCAGAGGAGGAGCACGAGCGAAAGAAGCAGACGTCTTTCATCGTGCTGTTGCTCACTGCAGTGCACGCGGTGGACCACTTGTTCCAGGACACAGCCCGGGAGATCTGCGAATCCGTTGGCGGCACGGCGCGTGCCCCGCCGCCCAAGGGCTTCATGCGCATGTGGGCCAAGCTGGACACGGACCACGCCAAGGCCAAGTCTCCTCGGGCCGCGGAGAACATCGACACCAACCGAGTGGCTTGGATCTTTGAGGAGCCCGAGCAGCTGCGCGCCGCCTTTGACAAGGCACAGAAGGTCTTTGGGCACCCGGTCCGAGTGAAGAATGGCTACGACCCCGGCTTCGATGCGATGACGGAGACCAAGGGCTACAGGAACATTTTGGCCAACTACCACTTCAGCCCTGGTCTCACTTGGGGACAGCTGGGTGGGGACACAGAGACTGCTGGCAAGACGCGTGCAGCCTGGGACAAGTTCCGGACACGCCCTCAGTTGCAGGGGTTTCTTGAAGAAAAGGCCAGGTAGGTGAGGAGTGAAGATGACTGCACAAAGCTCAACACATGTCGGGTTAGTGTTTGCCAGGGCCACGTGGTCCACTTGAAAATAACACTGGACTCAGGAAGCTGCTGGTGGACACCTTCTTGAACATGGGCTACGTCGATGAGGCTGGCTTCGATGAGGAGCTCACGTACTACATGCACTGCTGCGATGCAGCCAAAGGTCATTTAAGTTCCAGCACCATGAAAGATGAGCCCATGGAGTTGGTGGTGGAGATTCAGTACATGCTGGCGTCATATTTTGACATGCGGAAGTACACGCACACCTGGTACAAGATTGTGAGGGCCGAAAACCCAGAGGCTCTGGTGGTGGATTACAACTCCTAGCCTCACCTCGCTTTGCACTATGTAGCATGTAGCACCCACGTAGCACCCACGTAGCCATGTAGCATGCAGTTGGCCGGGCTGTGCCTTCCAAAGGAACTGGCACCAAGCCCAAGGGTTTTGGCCCAGGCACACCTGATGCATGGACGTTTCGACCTGTGGACGTAGATCAGTCGAAAAGAAAAGCTTCGTCAGATGCACCGTTCAAGGCAGTTCCGCAGTGAAGGCAGTTGCGAACCGTAGGAAAAGAATGGAACCGCGATCCTGACCAGGTTGAAAACCTAAGCAGCAATCCTGTCATGGTCAACGGCAGGCCATGTTCTTGGCAATTCTGCAACTGCGAGTGTCCAGCTGAAGGCCGCTGAGGAAGAGCCAAACTGGGAAGATTGCGGCCGGCGGCCGCCTTGCTTTTCTGGCAAAGGGCCAAGACCAGAAGGCCAGAGCCCGCAAGCCCGAGGGGCTGCGAAAATCCGACCTTGCGCGATGCGTTTGAAAAATCATCCCTAGGTGTTTGCCTTGATATCTCTTGGTCAATCTTCGCCATGCGCAGGAAACAACCTTCCTGGAATTCAACCTGCATGTGGCTGACACGCTTTGCATGTAGAAACCAGAGTGGTGTGCTCTCATGCCGCAATGCAAGCGCCTTGCAGAGTTGTTCAACGCATTGCAGATCAGGCTCAAACGAGGACAGAAGGCAGGTAAGTCAAAAAGGCCCTGTTAGGTCCACAGACATGGAGCAAAAGAGCAAAAACACATTAAGTAGTCGATTTATGTCCGTTTGTTCTTTCCCATTTTGCCAAGAGACTAATTAGCTTTGTGGCATAGCTCCAAGCCAGGGCCACAGGCAGTCAGATTCAGGTCGATGCTGATGCTGTCGCCCTCAGGATGTCTTCCGGGGACTACTACGCGGTGTTGGGGGTTCTGTCCTCGAAGAAGTCCTCACAGTCCTCACAGTCCTCAGAGTCCTCACAGTCCTCAAGTTGCCAGGTCGGACCGGATGCCAGTGAAGCGGAAATCAAGAAGGCCTACCGGAAGGCCACGTGACGACATGACGACATGCACCTCTCGAAGCATTCGTACACTTTCACAATTTTCCATGAGTGTAGGAAGCGCTGAAGTGGCATCCGGACAAGAACCCTGACAACAAGGCAGGCCTAGTCTGGTGCACCCTCCCTGATCCACGTTCACCAGGTAGCAGCCGAGCAAAAGTTCAAAGCCGTGGCCGAGGCGATGTCGCTTCAAGACATGAGCAGTGCATGGGTGCGTCGCACCGAGTGGTGAGGCATACGAGGTGCTTTCGAGCCCGGAGAAGCGAGCGCTTTACGACCGTGGCGGCAAGGAGGTGCTTTTGAGTTGAGTTTGAGCAAGCGCGTTTTCAATTTGTGCAATTTGTGCAAGCCAATCGCGAGGCTGTATCCGGAGGTCCTAGCTTCGCGGGCGCACGCGCCGGCTGGGCCCCGAAGTAGGCCATGAGAGCTGAGTCACTAACTCGGTCAGGTGGCATGGACGCCGCATTCAATATCTTCGAACAGGCTGGGCGGGGATTACCATCCAAAAAGAAGTTTTTCAGCAATCAACAAGAAGCTTTTCGGAATCAAGAAAAAGCTAGTCTAGCAAACAAGACAACGTTACTACATACTCCCCTTGTATTGCATGCATGGTCTCTTGGTCCCCCGGGCTGTTGGTCCTTTGGTCTGTTGGTCATTTGGTCCTTTTGTCCTTTGGACTGCAGACCTTTTGGTCCCTTGGTCGGGCCCCCGGTCCATTGCTCCCCCGGGCCTTTTTTGTCTTTGGTCCGATGGTTGGGTTTTTGTTCCCCCGGGCCTTTAGTCCGTCCGTGGGTCAGTTGGCCCTTTTGTCCTTTGGTCCCATCAGCCCTTCCTTCGTTTGGTCTTATATTTGTTCACTTGGGAAGTGTTGTTGGCTGGTTGGTTGTCTCGCTGTTTGCCTGCCTGCTTGTTTATTGGGCTGGGCAGTGGCATGCAGCATCACTGTTCCGAGCATCATTGGGGGGGGGGGCTGCCGCCCCACCCCCACCCCCCGCTGCTTTTTAGATATGTTTCCCAACCACCCCAAGCCAACCCTCAAACCCACCCTAATCCAACCCAAGAATAAAACCAGACAAACCCTATAACCATCCAGTCCTAAACCCCGCCCTCAGCTAGCCCTTAACAAACCCGAAGCAAACCCTTCACAGTGCTGGTGCAAACCAGTGTGTGTTGCTTGCAAATGCAGTAACTTGTTTGTTTTCTGGGGGGGGGGCTGCGCCCATAAACCCGCCCCAACGACCCTTTGCCACCCTGAACCTACAACTCGCGCGAAACGCACCCTAAACCACCAACACCTGCCCAAATCCCAAAACCTAAACCTGCCCTAAACTTGCACAGACCCTCAACCCACCACGAACCCACCCTGAACCTCCCCCTAAAGCCGACCCAAAACTGAAACAAAAAACACAGACCAGCCATCCTTTGGTCCCCTTGTTTCATGGACCCTTGGCCCTCGATGTGTTTTGATCCCGGTCCCTTTCCTCCTTCGGTCCTTCGGTCCTTCGGTCCCCTGGTCCTTTGGCCTTCATAAATTCTGTGCTAATGCCTTTGGCCTTTGGACCTTCGCTTGGCTTTCGGTATTGTCCCCTCTCGTGGCCCTTTCATCCTTTCGCCTCCTCTTTGGCCCCCAAACACCCTGTTCACCTGGCCCCCGAGTGAATAGTTTGTTGTTGATTGCCATACTGCTAAGAAAAGTGTTTTGTTGACAGTTAAACGTTTGGCTTTTGGGCACACTCGATGGGCAAGCTAAAAAGAAGACTCTGTGGCCAGTTCTTTGGCGGGCGCGACCCCTTTGCAGAGATGGACAGGAGACTTGGGGCGGAGACGCTGGCGCTTGGAGATAGCGTTTTTGACATGCGCCATCACAGGCGAAACGATGCTCTATCTCTTGTTTGCGGAAAGTGAGCATACCTGGAACCTCCGTCCGACCAATATTTTAGCCGTTGTGCGTTCAGCAGGAGTTTCAGCGGCAAGTAGAACAAATCGCCGGCAGCTCCGAAAATCACCACCAGCAAGCAAACAAGCACGTCATAAACTGAAACAAGCCCGCCGTAATCCCGCGTGTTTCCGCCGTAGCCACGTAGAGCGAAACATCAACAAAACACAAAGCCGACTCAGGCGAAAACTAATTTCTACTCTTTGGGGCCAGCCCCTTTGAAGCCAGAAGCAGAGGAGACAAAGAACGCTCCGTCCTCGCCATACGCATCGGGAACAAACATAATTCATACACCCGGACTGCGTCACGCCCTGATTGAAGCAGATTGGCGCTGGGCACGCGCAGGTAATGCGGTGGCAGCAATTCGCAAAAGGCTGCTTTGTTTGTTGCGTATATGCAATATAATGAGACAAAGGCAGTTTGCACAATCAACGCTTGTCACATTGGTGCATGCTCATGAGTCAAAGCAAAGGTTGTGGGCGCAATGCTCTTTGAGGCCGCCTATGAAAAACGCCGCCGGAAAAGAAACAACGCCGCACGATTTTTGGGAGATCCCGATTTCTGCCGGAGGACGCAGAAAGGCGCCTTTTTGAGTCCTCAGCTGAAATTTTGGCCGGAAGGAGTTTCCAGGTATGAAACAAGAGCCCATGGACTCATTTGACAAACCTTGTCTCCTTGTGTTTCCAAAACGAGAATGTGTTGCCGGCATGTTTGGCAGAGATGAAGGGTGAGCAGGAACTGTTGGTTCCACTCCTGAGGGCTGCCAACCAAGTGGCAGCGAGAAAAGCGAGAACAGCAGATGCATGCTTCTGTTCCTGGTGAGCCATAGGCCCACCCCTAAGCCTCCTTTTTGGGCGTACATTGGCAGGTTGGTCGCTCCTTTTATTGGGTAGGTTTCTCTGGTTGCTTTGCCCCAGAGTAAGATGTCAATGCAAATCCGCAGAGCTTGGCAATCGACATGCCTGAAGGATGTTTGCCGACATGCAGGGCATGCAGGGCATGCACGGCATGCACGGCATGCACGGCATGCACGGGCAAAGGCGGCCGCGCGTTTGCCTGAAATGTTTAAACGGAGCAACTCATTGCACGAGGTCTGGGAGATCTGGTGGCGCGAGCTTTGGCGGGGGTGCTCAGAGCGGAAGTTCTTGGAGCTTCTCCCGAGATCTCCCGAGCAGGCGGCATGGGTGGCTTTGGGGCCTTCAATGACGACTTCTTCAAGGGTGGTGTCAGCTCTTTGGCTGGGACAGTATAAATGCTAGGACTAGGTCAAAGAGTTCAGAAGGATCTCACATGATCGGGTCTTCATGGCATTCGATTCAGGCGGTGGCACTTCGTTCAGCTCCTTCAGTTCAATGAGCGGTGGTGGCGGAGGCCTTGTGGACTAAATTTTATTCTCGTGCGAGATGTCTTTGATGTGTGTGTGTGTGCCTCAGGCATGATGACCAGCACTACAACGACAACCAGGCGGAGCCTTGCAAACGATCGGCTTGCAAAACGATGTGCTGAGGATGGTGAATGGCAAGAAGGTTACTGTCACTGAGAAAACGGCGCGGTCCCCGGGCAGAGGGACATGTTGGGCTTCCTGGATTTGCCAAGGTGAGAAAGCCGGATGGCACGGTGGAGACCACACGCACAGAGTCCGACGGGACAGACTCAGGTGGCAAAAACCTCAGCCGGCCTCGCGGGCCAGCCTCGCGGGCCAGCCTCACGGCCCGCCAGGCCCGGGCATGCTGGGCAATGACTTCGGAGGCTTCAACAGGTGGGACTCGGGTGACGTCACGTCGTCAGGTCTGGGCATGCAGAAGTTGTTTGCAAGCGCAGGCTCGCGTAGGCTGCTAATGCTGTCTTTCAAAAAAAACTGCGTTTTTGAGGATTTGTTTGTTTCTTCCTGCTCCGCGTGAGCCAGGCGTAGGCATCTGCGTTGGCGTTCAGGGCATGTTCAATACCTATGCCCTTTCTAGCAGGCAGGTCATTAAATGTTGACTTCTCTGGTAATCCAGCCACGTAGTTTGCAGGTGATACAGGGATGGCAACGCCAGCGTGATGTAGTAGGAGGGTTTGTCTGCAGGTGGGAGCAGAGTTATTATACAAAGTTTAGACAAACTTCCGTAGTACAGAAACTAAGATAGATAGCTTCAGAAGATCAGATAGCGCGTGCAAAAGAAAATCTTGTAGATAGCTTACAGAAGATCAGAAGGCCAATGCGAAAAGATAGCGTACGCAGATAGAGAAGGAACATGCGAGAAAGCATGCGTCGGAAAAGAGCGACCACCCTTTGCGCGTTTTGGCGGGTTTGCGTCAATGCTAACCACCTTTGTCTCAATGCCTGTCGGGCGCGGGTTCGGAGCGTTCTCGGCACGGCCTGCGCGCACGGCCCGCTGTGATGGCAAACACGAAGGTTTCGCAAGGTTTGCATTGCGTGGCAGGCGCAGCACTTTCGCAAGGTCAGGCAGTGCTTTCGCAAGGGAAAACGAGAAGTAGAAAGAGAAAGGGAAAGAGAGAGAGAGAGAGAGAGCAAGACAGGGAAAGAGAAGGAGCAAAGGAAAAGCAAAGAGAGAAAGAGAGAGTGAAAGAGAAAAAGAGGAAAAGACGGAAAGAGAGAGAGAGAGAGAGAGAAAGAGAGAGAAAGAGAGAAAAATACGCAAAAGAGAGAAAGAGAGAGAGAGAGAGAGCGAGAAGGAGAGATAGAGAGAAAGAGAAAGAGAGAAAGAGAAGGGAGAAGAAGAGAGAAAGAGGGAAAGAGAAGGGAGAAGAGAAAGAGAAACAGACAGAGAAAGACAGAGAGAGGCGAGAAAGAGAAAAAGAGAGAGAGAGAGAAACAAAGAAAGAGAGAACAATATAGAGAGAGAGAGGAAGAGAACGAAGAGAGCGAGAGAGAGAAAGAGGAAGATGAAGAGAGAGAGAGAAAGAGAAGGAGAGCAAGAGAAAGAGAGAGAGAAAGTGAACGAGAGGAAGAAAGTGAAGGAAAAAGAAAGAGAAGGATAAAGAGAGAATGAGAGATAGAAAGAGAAATCGCACAAGCCGCCGAAGGGTCAGGGCCCAGGTTGGGCTCCGACTCCGCGTGGGAAAAGGCCTGGGCGGACCAACGCTGCCAAGCGGCGCAGGCTTTGGCATCTTGACCTGCCGAGCTTGGCCGCGCCGCCGGATCCACAGGATCTCGATCGTTGGGACCTCTTGGAGGAACTTGATCCGTAACCGTATCACCGGATATTCGGCTGCAGTTGTGCGACAAGTTTTGGGCACGCCGTTCCCGATCCCCTCTCCCACGTTCAGCATGCAAGCGGCCTACGCCGAGTATACCGTCGCGACTCTGAAAGTTCCTCTGCCGAAGCCAGCCCCGAGAGTTCCTCCGGCAACTCTGACAGGGACGGATGTATGAGAGATTCCAAGACAATTTCCCCGACGATGTCCTTCGGACGTCTGGCCTCGGTCGCGCAGGTGCGCAGTAGAGGAGGCTGAAGCGCCCTCAGGTTCAGCACGAGATTTCTACGCTGCCGGAGGACCCACGCGACGACAACTGGCCGAGCCCCGCGCGACTCCAATGCTTGTGCGCAGCCCCACGGGGGCGTGGCAACGCCAGTGTGAACTCCTTAGTAGTCCGCGCATGGCATGAAATTAGTAGGAGGGCTTGTCTACAATGAGTGTACCATCATGCGTTTGGCTAAAGAAAAGGAGCGTCGATCCTCAGGGCTTCACGCCGCAGCTGGCAGATTGCTCCGTTTCTTCTCTGCTTGAGTACTATAGTCACAAAAAACAGGCGTGATCTTCAACCTGCAACTGCCAAACGTCCCTTGGGTCACGGCTCGTTCTAGCGTAGGCACCCTTTGCAGCGAGTAGAGTTGTGGAGGCTTCCGCTTGGCGAGTAGCGCATAGTCTTCCGAGCCACCACTGACTGCTAATTCGCCCACTGTCGCAAGGCCGTTTGGACTTGGATGGCGGGCCGCTGAGATCCGCTGAGTCTGATTTGAACTTTGTGGTTGGACATTTTGCACAGCTCCAGGTAATCCGCGGAAGTTCCTGCTGTTTCTCGTTGGCTTTTGGCCGCCCATCTGTGAATTGAGGTGTTCGCTGGATCAAATCAGGGCTTTCCGCACAGCGAGAGAGAGAGAGAGAGAGAGCGAGGGCATGGAATTGCCGCATCAAGGTATGAGTCGTACGAGTTCATGAATAATTTCCATTGAATTCATGTGCAGCCACCGCATCACTAAGTGAGACTTCAAAGCGGCTGCTGACATGTAGTCTTGCAAGTTCTCAAAATACTCTGCCTGGCACGAGGGCCGATTTTGGTCGAAAGGCCACTTGGTCCGTGATGTCAGCTTCGTCTTCAAAGACCACCACACACCGGCGTACAGGAGATGCGGCTGGTCAAAAGACTTTCTTCCAGTTTGCTTCATGTGAAGATGGAGGTTGGTCAGTTCAGAGTACTCGAGATGTTTGCCGACTCGCGTGGCTCACAGTGGCACTAGATCGCGCCAACCGAGAAATCCTTCGCATAGCCAGCGAGCGTAAGGAGACTGAGGCCCAGAAGGTTCCTCAATCCAGGGTTTGTTTCCTAGAGCGAGGCACTGAAATTGCGCCCGGGGGGCCTTTGCCTCCCTCGGCCTCCCATGGGAGGCCCGGAAGTCGGACAGGGGGACAGAAGACAGGAAACGGTGAGAACATGTGAGAACCGTTGCGTGAAAAAGGAATGAAAGACAATGCAAGACAATGCAAAAAGATAATGAAAAATGATGAAAGATAACTAAGATGATGAAAGAGAATGAAAGGAATGGAAAGTCTGCAAAGTTGAAAGCGAAATGTTTGAAATCCCCGAAGCGAGGCGATGGCCTGGAGAAGCTGTACCGCCAGCAGGAGGCCTTCGCCCAGAGCTTTGAGGCATCCGGACTCCATCCAAACTCGGAAGAGAAAATAAAATAAAGGAGAAACAAAAGGAGAAAAATTGACTGCCAAACAAAAGAAGAGAAACGAAAAGAGAAAGAGAGTGAGAGAGGAAAAGTCGCAGCTGAGGCACTCTCTGCGGCCTACGAGGGCATCGCTGCAGCCATCAAGGACTGGAAATTCCGAGGTTTCATTTCCATCTATTTCCATGACTGTCACACTGAAGGACTTGGGAGTAGATATCAATGGCTCTCTGAATGGCTCTTCTGGACACGGCGGAGAAACCGCGTTGGCCTTGCGGGCTGCTTGGACCGATTTGGCTCGCTCTATGTTTGTGCGATGCCAGTCTGCACAGTCGACAAAGAGATGCTGGCCGCCTACATCAACTTGCAAATGCAATTCTGAGGTCTTGGCAGCCCAAAGGGACCGAGAGAGGACCTCCTCGCCTGTTCCAATAATCAGACTCTTATGCTGTGAAATTCAAGGCTGCCAAGATGAGCCACTATAATTGGTGGAAATGGATTAGAACAGCCAGCCAGACTAAACCTATCAAATCGAGTTTGAGACCGATGACTTGAACTCTTTCAAAGTCTTCCCATTGACACGCAGGCTCCCGTTTGATCGAACCGCATCTCACCTGGCGGTTCCAATCAGAAGGCAGGCTTCGTACCGGGTCCCTAGTGGATTACGTCTCAAGCAACTCATCAGAACTGCCTCTTAGTCCATGGCAGTCTCTCAGTTCAAGTTGCTTCTTGCTACACAATCCGGATATTTGGTAAGCGGTTTTGCACAACCAAGGCTGACAAAGCAGGTGTCCAAGGGCACACTGCCACTTGCCAGGTGAATGGGTTCAGCAATACCACAAGGGAGTTCATAAGATGCGACTGCTAGGAGAAGTTTGAACTTTCTGCGGACGGAGTGCCGAATATGACGACGCGTGCTCCAAAGGGCCGCAACACTGTCTTCGGCAAGCGACAGCGTTCGGAGAGCGCTTTTCCGCCACAGAAAGGCTCGTCGGCTCGTCGCCTTTGTCTCCTTTGTGGCTCTAGACACGGCCAGTTTCCAAGCCCCTGAGGCATGCGCCTGCTGGATGATTGGAGTGAGAGCTTTGTTGTCAGCGAGCAAGATGCCACGATGATGTACAATCATCTCTATGGATGCTCAGCACATATGTTGTGTGTTCTTTTTGAGAGTTAGTGCCATAGTGTTTCTCTTCTGGTTGGAACAAACCTGTCGCATAGGTTGGTCAACCGGTGGGCCTGACAGGTGTAGTGGTGTTGCTGGGCCATTCTTGTTTCTTGCTGTTGAGAGACAAGGTGAGTGCACCCAGGTATGAAAGGCACCAAGACGACCACAGCTGCCAAGACGCGAGGCTGCACTGGAGCTTGGCGTTGGGTTCAAGTCTGAGCTTGAGATCTTCAGACTCGTTGCCATGAGGCATTCAAGCGTGCACGAGCTGGGCACATGACTCAGAGCTGCACCCAATAAGCTTAAGCCCCGAAGCAGGAGGATGTTCCAAGGTCTTGGAAAGGTTGGGCAAGAGCGTGAGCGACTGATCAAGCGCATTTGCGGAAACCTAAGGTCTTCAGGGCTATGTGGAAAACGTCAATTGGAGTTACACTTGGCAGATCTTGACTTTGATTCTGGTGGCTGCGGACACCATGCTCATCCCGGTGACTCTTGCCTGGCCAGATACAGACATACGTATCCTCCTCCTTTACTTCCAGGCAGGGTGGCGCATCTTAGGAGGTGGTTGGGGACCGATTCTCCAGGTGGCGCCCGCCTTTTGGATCTTCGATATTCTCTTCAATGTGGTCATCCCTCTTTGGTTTGCAAAAGGAGTGCTGAGGGACAAGCTGCAAATCCTGCGGCCTTATGTATGCCGAGAACTCAGCATGCAATGCGTAATGCGACATAATGCGACCCGAGCGCTTTGACTCGACATCCAAGGTCGGAGGCTTCCAATTGATGCCGCGGCCTTGGCAATGTGGCCTGGGGGGGTCGCGTCGCGCGCGTCGTGAGGCCTCACTGGTGACCTTGGACCTGCTGCTGCTCGGGCGAGTCTTGCCGGAGGATTTCCGCATCTTCAGCTTGCTGCGGCTGATCCGTTTGACCAAGATGCGGAAGGTGGCTCCGCTGATTCGTTTGTTCAAGATTCGCTGCATTTTATTTTGCTGTGTGTTCTTTTGTGTGTGTGTGTGTGAGTAGCTTTTGAGTCCACTAGCTGCCTAAGATCCTTGCGGCATTTGAAAGTCGGCTGGCAGCGCGGGGCAACATCAAGCTCACGCAGTACTTGATAATTCTCCAGTGCATCGCGCAAGTCCTCACTGTGAACCATGTACTGGCATGCACCATTTTCTACGTTGGCCGAATTGGTCAGCTGCGCGAGTGGGCAAACTGGATAGATAGATACAATGCACTTGAACATGGCGGCTTTCTTCAATACATGCCGCTCGCTTCCACCAGTCGTCTTTGTCCCCATGTTTGGCTCCGGACCATGCCACCACTTTGCAAAGCTACTGTTTGTCCCAGTGAAGTCCTCGTGTTTCGAGGATGTGCTTCAACTGGGTCATCGCGGAGTACACCCCAGCACCATGGCCCTACCAAGCGCAGAACGAGCTGGAGCAGACAATGATCATCATCATCATCCTCACCTGCCTGCCTCTCCTGGGAGCCCAGATCGGGAAGATCGGTGGGACCTTGAACATGATGAAGGAGAAAGCCAAGGACCCGTGAGATGAGCTATGGCGCGGCACATAAGCCTGCAGCAGACCAAGCTTCAAGCAAAACGAAAAGCTGCCCCATGGCTGACACTAGTTTGACTCATCACTGCTAGTCCTCCGCAAGCATGGCCCTTGATATGGAAAGCCTATGCTGCACGCGAACCTGCCCAAAATGAACTGCCAAGCAGTCGCGCAGGGATCAGACTCCTGCCAAGGGTTTTGCAAGTTCCCGCACAGGAGCGTGACATGGTGCGAAGAGATTTGCAAAGATGGCTGGTCAAGACATCGGCGCCAGAGAAGCTGACAAGGCCCAATTTATGCATAGCTGCATTCAGTACATTTTCGCAGATCTGTGTTCTCTTAAACCCCATGTTTGTCTGATCTGACTCTCTTCTTCAAGCTTGTCTACCTTTTTCCAAACTGCTCTTGTCACGGTGAGTGCGCCCGTGAGGAGACGTGGCTGGTTTCGCTTGCTTAAGCCCGAATCAGCCTCAATGTCATGAAGATTGTTTCAATATGTTTCATAATTGTTCTCTTGTTTGGTTTGTTTCGTGTGTTTTCTTCCCGGAGTTGCTGAGGCGCATGTTGGAGTCGTTGGACGACGTGTTGGGCTCCGCGGACTCGCCTTTGGACGTGAAGGAGCCCATGGCGCTGAAGTTCCTGCCGTCCACGTTGCTGGAGGAGCTGCGCGTGGTGAAGACCGGGGAGAAGCTCTCCAAGCACCAGCTCTTCACCATGCTCATGGACGACTCCTGGAGAAGCAAGAAAATACAAGAAACCAAGAAAACTTTTAGAGAGAAGAAGAGGAAAGCATATTTGAGAAGAGGGTGGAAAAGGGGAAACATGGGATTAGGGCTTGTTGATTTTAAGTTGGGGGTTCTGAACAACATGCCTGCCATGGGTCTAGAGTACCGAGTGAGAAGTCGGCTTTGCGGACCATTTTGGATTGTGAGATGACGTGAGGCTTTGTTTCTTTTCACCTTTCCTGGCTCCGAATGGCTCCCAATGGTTTTACAATGGCTCTACAATGGCTCCCAATGGCTCTCCCAATGGTCCCCAAACCTCCCAATGTCTCTTTCCAATTCCTCCCAATAACTCCCAATAACTCCCAACAACTCCCAATAACTTTCAAAGCCGCGCAAATTGTCCCAATGGCTCGCTCTCCCAATTGGCTCTCGCAGTAAATCGCAGTGGCTCCCTCTCAGGACCGGGTCGGCATCTCGGGCCCCTTGAGCTCCGCCTTCCGCACCGTGTCTGTGGTCCAGGGCGAACAAGTCTTCAGCTTCAGCCGAAAAGCAGAAGGCGGGAGCAAAGCGACCCTCACGGCGAAGTGATGCTAAGAGACTAAGTGACTAGCGTTGAACCTCTTGCACTAGCTTGGGCGCTCAGTTTGCTGCTGAATGAGTAGCTGACCTCTTGACCAACTGACTGGCAGGCAAGACACGCCCGCAATCAGCTCACTTCTCAACTTTCTTATTTTCAGAAATTTGGCCGGAGGGCTAAGCAGCTAACAAACTGGTTAGCTAGATGTCTTCCGAGCTGGCTAGCTGCTGTCTAGCTAAGTTGAATTTTACCAGCCAGCTAAGCAACTGTTCACTTGCTGACTTTTACTTTTGGATGACTGGCAAGCTAAAAGCGCTAACCAATCAGTTGGCTGACTGATGAGCTCAGTAGATAGCTTGCAGCTACATCTCACCAACCAGCTCTATCTAGATGACCAACTAAGCCAGCAAACTTGCGAACTCTGTAGCGAGCTCGCTAGTAGAAGTTCTGTTAGCGTGTTTAACGTATACATATGATTGGAGAGTATGATTATTCGGCCAATGCTCATCGTTTGTCGGCGGCCCAAACAAAATGCCTGTTTGCTTAGCCAATGCAAGTTGGCTGGCGCCCTAAACCACCAACCCTAGCACCCTAGCTGAAATCAAATCTTTAACCCAACCTGAAGCCCAAACTTAAACCCACATCCCAAGCGCTGTCTTAAAGCAAACCCTAAAGTTCCACAGTACCCTAAACATTAAGAAGCCTGCGACGTGATGCAACTTATAGCGTAGGCCTTACGGCAAACGATGGGGGGGGAGGGTGCAGCAAATTGTAATGATGTATAAGGTGCTGACGAGCTTCAATGTATGTGCTTGGTAGGCTCGATCGCTGACAAGATGTCGCAAATAAGATGTCGTGCCCTGTGTGGATCGTTTGCCGCCGGCTACAGTTTCTTCATGCGTCCGGCCACTTGAAGTGTTGTGTTTGTTTTCGAGGAAAATTGCTGGTTTCTAGATCTGGTTTCTAGGGCTGATTTGATCGGGCTTCTAGAGGGAGATTTGACCGGGATTTGGCTGGCTTTAAGGGGGGTTATTTTGGCGGGGATAGCAGGGGTTTTAGCCGCGCGACATGGATTGTGGAGGCGAAGTGTACGATCAGGGTCTCAATTCGCTAGCTTTTCATAGTGAAACTGATTAACACGGCCGTCAAACGCTGGCGACAATCCTATGCTTTCATCCGCACATGCCCCGCAGATCCTCGCAGATATGTCCGCCACTGGTTCTCTCCCTGAGGTTGACTGCATCAGTGCACAAGACGCCGCCCCACCCACCTGAATGTCAACTACCATGAACACTGTGCAATTGTCACCGTTGAGTCCAGTTAGGGGAGTATTGTTAGATTCCTTTTTTTTGAGGCTTACTACAAGCTACATAGCTGTCAGCCTAACTAGTTGGTCAGCTCGCTGACAGGGCCTGAGTGTAAAAGTGCCGTCGCTTTCCTGTCCAGTGGAATTTTGCTTTCAACTGTGTGAGAACTAGATTTGGCAATGTGAAAACTGCTTGACCGTGGACGCAACCTCTCAAAAATGCAGCTGCGCGCGCTTCTCTCCTTCCGAAAACCAGTCCCGACAGTGCTGCTTGCGCGAGTCGGGTGCCGAGACCAAGGAGGAGTGGCTGGAACACGTGCTTGAGCTAGTTTTGTCTTCGGGAGAGTCAGTGTTTGAGACGCTAGCTCGGAAAGCTGCGGGATGTCGCGCGCTGCGCCCTGTTAACTGCTGCGCCTGGCATGTTCACGCCTGCCTCAGCATGTGCTATCTGCCTCGCTGCGCGGGCGCTGTGCTTTTGGACAAATGCTCTTACGCCCCACGGCCAGAAGCAGATTCTTGCCAGCGCAAGCAGGTTTTCATCAAGACATCCGTGGCGACGAAATCAATGTTATCTTGGCTGGATCGCGGCCTGATGGCTGCCGGATCGCGCACGGATCGCGGCCTGACGACTGGATCGCGATCGGATCGCGGCTGGATGGCAGCTGGGTGACGCTTGCCGGGTCACGGCTGGGTCGTGGATCAGTCAGATTGTCGCCAGATGTTGGCCAGACAAGTGTGTTTGCGCGTGTGTTTTGTGCGGGGAACCTGTTCCGCAGATCTGCGCCCAGGAATGAGTGTCTGTCTCACCATAGTAGCTCAATGGGAGGCTCTTCGAGCGTTCTTGGTTCAAGCTTTAATTCGTCTTGTTTGTCTGTCAAGGTCTATTGCGCAGCACATACACAAACACACCCGCATAATTTTTAAACGCGAGCCAATTTGCTCTGGCGCGTTGGCTCGTCAACCGAAATGGTGGTTCAGATGTCTCTCCCGGAGTCCCGACCAATGAAACAACCAACCAACCACCAAACAGACACCGTCCAAACACAAAGAGGCACAGTCACGTGTGTTCGGGATCGTGAGCTTGAGGCATTGCTTGGCGCAAATGCGGACATTAAAGCTGCCCCATGCTCCATTTTCCAGAGCGCGAATGTGGAAGTCGGGGGGCCTCGAAAGTGAATATATGCATTTTCCAGGTCCCCACCCCTTATGAGTGGGGGATGACTCATGTTCACCATGTTCCGCTTGCTTTTATATGTGTTTCATTATGTCTTATTAATATTTGCAGCTCCTAAAGTCAAGAGACCGGTGATTAAGAAATAGGAAAGTGACTTGTGCTCTTTTGAGTTCTCGTTGTTAGTATTTCACTTGACTTAGCCCAGCAATGAACTAAGTAGCCAGCTCAGCGAACTGGCACCCCAGTTCACACTCGCTTGCATCTGACAGCGAGCACGGCTCGAGTTACGGTTGCTCAGGATTTTGAAACCTGCCCCCAGCTTTGCCAGCTTCATTCTTTTTCTGCATGCCGTTATAGTGTCATGTGCTTCAGGTGTTTAACCTCTTGGCGTCCCTTTCACGAAGTGTTTAAGTGCAATGCTTCCAGATCACTGAGCGACGCTGACAGCAACTAGTGTGATCTGAGAATCGCCCGATTGTGGCGCCCTGTTACAGTGTCCTGTTGCTGCTTGTGCAGATGTTTTGTTGGTTCCAAAGCTGCGCTCTGTGAGTGCCCGACACCAAAGCATGGCACTCCTGCACTTGTCTGGGATATGTCAATTCATTGGTTGGGTAAAAGTCGCAGGCATGCTGGACTTCAGCCCAAAAGTGGTGCAGTATGTTTACGTTTGCGCTTGAGATGTTGACATTTGATCTATCTCAGGGCCTTGCCCAATTGGTTCCGGAGTGAATCGTTCGAGGATCTTTCTGCGGAAAAAAAAGGGCACCAGGCCTAAATACACCCATCATAAAGCATCCGAGCCAACATCAATCAAACAGACTCAAACAACTTACACACTCCGAGACTGCAACAAAGATGACGCCGTCTTCGAGAAACCCATGTATTGACGGGGAATCCGAGCACGCTTTGCAGGTCAAGAGCCCCACTTGACAGGCCATCGCATAATTTCAGAATGCAGTACGGACCGTACTTGCATATCTAAGAAAAAGAAAAGGGCCAAAATGTCAATAAACCAGAACTTGCCAAGCAGCTGAGACAAGCGTAACACATCTCCGGACGAACCTCAATGGAGATGCAAAACCCCCTGAGGCCTTTCAGAACGAAAAGCTAGAAGCATGCAGGTTTCGCCACCCCAGATTTTGGAGGTCCCATCGCAGCTTGACCGATGCGATGGCAAGACACGACTACACCGGGTCAAGAAACAAGCGACCGTGTCAGGAAACATGAGTCAGGAAATGGACAGGGGCGAGTCAAGAAACAACCTGAGGCAGGTCAAGAAACAAAAGTGATTAGGATTAAGATCGTGAGTCAGGAAACGCGGAAACGTGAATCAGGAATCGTAATTCAGGCATGATGTGGCCAGTGCCTGCGGTGATGCTGGGAATGCAAGCTTTGCACTGCGTGCTTTGCGCTCTGCCGCGCGCTTGATGCATTGTTCCTGGATATCATGATGGTGGCTTTCGTGCATTGTTCCTTGATATCGTCTTGGCCCAGATCAAGGAACAGCCTTGCGTGTTTTACCTACCAAAGGGCATGCCCCAGTTCAGATAAAATCCCCTCAGTCAACCACTTCAACCATATTAACCAACAGGGGCACGCCACCTCAACCAATTTTACCACCTAAATCCCAAATTCCCAAAATCCCAAATATATTTTTCTAAAATCCCAAAATATATTTTTCCAAAATCCCAAATTCCCAAAATATATTTTTCCAAAATCCCAAATCCCAAAATCCCCATAATTTCAAAACATAAATCTTACAATGTTTTTTATTGTAAGGTTTATGGGTTAATTTATAGTTTAAGTTCAGGATAATAATTTAATTGATGACTACTAAGTTGTATATATATCTTACTTCTTTCATGCATCATTTTAAAAATAATATTAATATCTCTCACTGTATTTTTGACATTAAACTTTTTTCTTTCAATATATGTTTTAATGTCTTCTTTTACATCAAACCCTTCCCTACTATGATTAGTCAACATCCATAATATACCTTCAATCATTTCATATTTTTCTTACTGATTTTCACAAATATTCTAACATAACTATAAGGTGGTCTTTTATACACAGTTAAAACTATCAAAGTGTCATCTTCAACATTTCTTTCATTAAACCTTTTAATACTTAAAGTACATTTGATTAATTCTTGATAAAACCTCCAATTTCTACAAATTTTACATAAATCTTCTTCACCCAAAGCATAATCAATAATATTTTTTATTATTCCATTATGTAGATTTAATTTATACAATTCCATATTTTCTTTTTTGAAGTGGCAACAGTCATAGCATTTCTTATTAATATACTTATTGATTTCAATACCGCTCATTTCTTCACTATTAGTATAAGGTGTTTTTTCTTTAGGACTATTTCGCCTAAAACTAAATTATTAATTTAAGTCTTTCTATTATTTTATCACACGTTGTTTCATTATAAATATTACTTCCTATTGTTGTTCTAAACAACCCAATTGTTCTAATTGCATGTGTTATT